AAAATAAACCTAAATATTAACATACGCCTTTCAAGTAATAGATATATACCATAAATGTAAAGCTAACATTAATTTATGGAAATTATTATGTGAAAAAAACAATATATAAAATATCTTAGATTTTATTCCATACCATGCATTTTAAAGCATTTTATCAGCATGTAATACATTTTATAGGAAAAAAACTTAGTTTGCTCTCTGCGCTAATTTCGCTATAATAAAATCTCGTTATCATAACGAAATTATAAAACGTTCATATTAATAATGGAAACTGCAATCTCCATGTCTTATTAATTAGTACACGGAACAAAGAATCTCTAAAATTGAAAGTCCTCCTGAGTTACCATTGTCCTTTAATATAAACACAAAGAACGAAAATGTTTGATCTGGAACAATGTCTATTGTCTATCTATGCATTTTAATCAGTGTCCTGGGACCGAATAACAATAAATCGTGAACCGACTTCAGGTTACTTAAAAAGTAATTATATTTCTTGTATAGTACTTTCGTATCGTACAATAACCTGTGTTTAAATAAGATTAATCCTTTATTATAAGTTACTACGAAAAATCGATAGTAACACGAACTTTCCTTAAATGGATTCTGTAGGTAGATTGTTTACTGTAAACTTTTCTAATATCTGCATATTCTATTTTGGGATAAAGTTTGTTACATAAGACATTTATTTTAGGATAAAGTTTATTGAATATTTCATTTCTAACAGTAAAGCCTCACAGCATTTGGTAGTAAGAAACTTATATCTAAATCTAGCTGCAGTTAACTATAGGCCATAATTGGATAGCAACGTGTTTAGTTGTCTTTGAGACGAAACTGTCTGCATTAGTGAACTATTTCAGTTTATACTCGTGCTCAATTCACAATCTTGTTTACACCTTTCATCTGATCTTATAATAGCTAGTTTAATAGAATTTTGTGTAATTTTATCACAAGAATCTTCTTAAACTCAATTTAAAAAGGATGGAAGGTGTTATTTCACGGCCGATCGCCTTCAATAATACATAATACCTGTCGTATGAGATAATTTTACTGTAATTTTTCTTTATTTATTTATGATACAATGTAAGTGTTATATTATGACGTTAAAATATAAGGTCCCTAAATAGGAAAACTCCACTCCCTATGTAGGAAAAATCCTGTAGTTGAGGATAAATAATACTCATTCCCTATAACAGTATGTAGAGTGAGTGACGCAGGAAAAAAAATACCTATTATTAAGCAGTATTAAACTTTAAACTATTTTAAAATTTACTTATAATATTACTTTAGGATATACATATTAATTTTAGATGAATATTATGTACGTATAAGATTGATATTTAATATAAAATTTTATACATATACTGTTTATTATGTATAAAATTTTAATAAATTATTAAAATACGTGCACTATGAGTTCTACTAGTTCATGATAAGTCTTATTTATGGGGCATTTTGATGACTACTATTTTACATGCATGTTTCAATGCCCGGCGACTTCGCCTGTGCAGTATAATAATAATAAAAATATCACAACAATTCACACAGCGCCATCGAGACCCAAGTTAAGCTGGCTAAAGCTTATGTTATGGGTACTTGATAACTGATACAAGTACATAGATATTTTTTTTCGTAAATACATACATATTATATATAGAAAACACCTAGACCGATACAAACAATCATACTCATGAATACAAATGTTTGTGCCGTGCCAGGAATCGAACCCGCGACCATCGGACGTAAAGCGGTGTGCTAGACCGCTAGACCACCGAGGTCGTCGTCGTCGAGGTCGTCGAGTATTATTGTAGTAGTTTATTCTACAATCTTCTACAATAGAAAGATTCTAGTCACTGGCCATTTATTTGTGACTGTATATAGGATATACTGCTATATTCTAGGCGTGCATGCAATCTTAATGTAGATTCAACCTGCCCGAGCCTGAAATCTAATTACACACTTTCCTGGTAGTTTCACAGCCTATTGAGACTCTCACATAGGTCATAAAAAGAGCTGCTTGATGCTACAAATACACACTACTGAGGTACCAAAATACAAGTCCCAGAATCTCCTTCAAGTAAAAAAGGTATCGTCGCTAATTAACTAGTTACAAAATCCGTTGCGTAGTTTTAAAGATTTAAGCATACATAGATTTAAGCATCTATTCTAGATGGGACTATTTACCTTTATACCAAAAGTCATAAAAATTGGTTCTGTGGTTTAGTCGTAAAGACGTGACAAACAAAGCTACTTTGAGAACTCTTGTTGTATACTGTGTAAAATTATGGTAGTTATTAAAATATTTGTCTAAATGATGTAGTGTGAAAGACAAACTTTATCTGCATGCGTTTATAACATTAGTATGCAACAATTATAAACTTTTTGTCGTTCTCTTTATTGTATAGGTAGATATCGATCTAAAAACTGACAGCACAACATGTGAATAGTGAAATGGATGTATATCCCATAAATTATTCTAAATATATAAAGAGTAATCCAATTTCCAGTTTCCAATTTGTACTTAAAACTTGTAATAACTCATAGATTTTTCATTTGAGTGTACCTAAATGTTAGAATATCCAACTTTACAGACACCAAGTCGCATATACATCTAAATATAGATAGCATATTAATGAATAAACTCATAAATTTTGCGTGAAATATTAAAATGATTGTGGGGTTGATATTAAATCATGCCTAACGCATCACGTCTCCTCCGGAAAAATAATCCATTTCGTGCGCAAAATTGCCGAGAATCAGATTTTGTGAAAAATCTCGTTATGGTGCCGCTTTAGTACAATGTAAATAAAGGTAGGTATACGGTATAAGTATCATTTTCTGTAGAAATCAAGTCTTTGTCGTTACTACTACTACAATACTTTACATATTTACAATAATTAGTTTATTAAAGCCTAGATTTAGTGATAATATATTTTATTTAAACAGAAAAATATTAGATATAATATTATTTTCTTCTTGTAGATAAATGGGTCTATAATAATAATAATAAGTTCATAAATATTTTTACTATTTGTAATGCTATGCGAGATACATGATGTAGATAGTACCTACCTACCTATAGTTCTATATTTGCATTTTAATATATTCAATTCTCAGTTCGCAGTTCGAAATTTTTATCTGTGATTGCAACAATATTTATGTACCTACTTTATTCAAAATCAATAATCATTTATCCTGTAAAACATTTTAGCCTTATGAACGTAAAAATTTTTGCATTATATTTTTTTCCCTGCCAGTTCAGTATATAGTTGAGAAGAACTGGCAAGAAACTCAACTGATTTTTTTTAAAGCAGTTATTATATGTAATTGCAACAATATTTAATGGGGGGGACGGGGATTGTTAGTAATGTGGATTGATAACCCCATTGCTAGCAATGTACCATGTCAGGTTGACCTCCACGCGGTTCCCCCTGGAAACCATCGTGATAAATTCTTAGTGAATTTGTCACGATGGGCTAACTGATCTAACCTCATGCTCATCTTATCATCCTCCACTGGTGCCCGCCAGTTAAACCGTTAGCGCAGGCGGGTGCACCATTTCATTTTCATTCAAAAAAACAATATTTAATGTAGGTACTATATTTATTTATACCTCCAGCAGGTAGATTTTGCAGTAAGTCCAACACTGTTTAATCCATTCGAGTTCGGAAGTTAGGTACATACCATTCTTTATAACAATTTCATTTATTTCAAACATCATTGAATATTAAATATGGACAAGGATTTGAGGAAGCATTTAAGTAATAAAGTTAATAATACGCTAACATTGTGCCTTCTGGTCTCAATATACGCAATATGCAGGATTTAGTACGCAATTTGAAACAGGTGAGACGTTGTTTACCTACCACTAAGGGAAGACATATGCTTACTCGTATGTCATATTACAATATGTAATTTGGTGGTTGCAATCCAACGAGGACTAGTGGTGATTCATAAATCATATATGTATCTAATAATAACCACTCCAGATATAACAACTGAAATAGTAGGTACTATTTTAAATTTCATCATCTATCATCGTCGTAATAAATGATTGGGAATTAACTACGATTCTCTTGAAAGTCGACATAAGTAAGTACAATATTAGCAATGATTCACTAGCCCCCTGTTATTATCAATGCTCCAAACCAGCTTGATTAATTTACCAGGATGGAATAATTGTCCTAACTTTATGCTTATCCTAACATCCTCTACAGGGGGGAATGGGATTGTTAGTAATGTGGACTAATGAACCCATTGCTAGCAATGTACCATGTCAGATCGACCTCCACGCGGTTCCCCCTGGAAACCATCGTGATACATTCCCGGTGAATTTGTCACGTTGGGCTAACTGATCTGACTTCATGTTCGTCTTATCATCCTCCACTGGTGCCCCGCCAGCGTAAACCGTTAGCGCAGGCGAGTGCACCATTCCATTATCATCCTTTAAAAAAAAAACATCCATCCTACAGCGTAAACCGTGCACCATTCCATTATCATCCACAAAAAAAAAAAACATCAAACTCCGCATCAAAATGTAATTATAGGCATATTTAGTAGTTTTTATAAAATTCCTTTTTCCTGCTTGCGCAGGCACTAATGGTTATATTTCTGTAACTATCCAATTTAATTAGAAAGCAAAAATTTAAGCATTTTTAATATTTCTTAACATTAATAAAATCCGGTAAATTGACAGTCAGTCCCATATAAGTGATTAATAGACTCAATGCGGAGATTTATGAAGTACTTCTATGTCAAAATTAAAATTTATATCTTTAAAATAGAGGTATAACAATATTTTTTCCCTGTTTCAAGCTCTGAAATTATGAACGAATCTGTGGAATGAAATGAACGAATGAACCAGTTTATGTCAACAAATGTCAGATTTCTTATTTGACATGATTGACAGTAGACAGTATTGACAGCTCGCAGCTGTGTGCTCTTAAATTGTTTCTGTCTGTTGATAATTTTTCAGTCTTAAATCCGTATTTATTGTTTATCCTACAATAATATTGTATGACTTACCTCCATATAATAGTATTATCTCAAAAACATCAATAAGTGCCGCCACGGTTTGCAATATGTACGAGGTAAATATCATTGTTTTCAAGCATCTTGTCTCTTGTACATAAATTTGTAGCGGATTTATGTATTTTATAGTTAGTAATTATTGATATGTCTAGATATTAATTAATTAAAAGATGTAAATGCGGAGATTTAATAATTTTCTTAGTCAAGTAACCTGTTGACATTTCCAATATGGCTCACTCCAGTAATATTCTAACTAGATACCTACTTCAGTACAAAGGCGGCATCTAGCTAAATATGAGAAACACTATACATTGTATAATACTTTAGAGTAATAACAGCATTTCATAACGAGATTTGAACCAACTATCCTAATTGTTATATAAGCAACAATTGTATAGTTAATAACCACAATGTATCATTTTTCAGATTTATTATTCATTATTTAATACAACAATCACATAACAACCAAGGTAAGAAAAATATATAAATAATTGAGACTTCCCTTCCTATAGGTGTTATTGTTGATTGATGCTTTAATTCAAATGTTTTAAATTAGCAATTTCTTAATTTCACATACCTGGTTTATATATGTTTTTTTATTAGTGTTAATAAATTAAATATTTTTTTAAATTTTCATTATATTTTATTTATTAAGCTATTAATGATTTTAATGTCTTCCGTAAGTAATTAATTATACCTTAATATTCTTATACAATATTCCCCTGTTTTACATTTATTGTAGATTAGTAAATTATATTGGCATATACATATACTTACAACTTATAACTTTCATTCACAATGTTATCTCGATGTGGCAGTTAGAGGCATTATCAATTATTGCTGTTATTGTGAATACAACACTTGACATACCCACATTTCACTGTGTATATTTGAGTCAGGTGATCAGCCTACCCCTGTATATATATTATTTGTTGACTTGACAATGTTCAGTTTACAGTCTTCACCAAAGAGTTGGTCAGCAAACTAGCCCTTCGAAATTCAGTTGCATGAGCACAAATTTAAATCATATTATATATCATAAAATTTGACAGTAATTTACATTTGACACTTGACAGAAAATTATACTGGATGTTTTCAAGTACCCTCATAAATATATTACATAACAAATATAAGGCCTTTATACATAATTATAGTACATCATATATTATTCATTATAATAGCCTTAGAATTTACAGCATACCTATAAAAATAATGATTTTAAAGTATTTAAAAACTGAACTCTTTTATGTTGTTTAGTATTTTAACATATAAATAAAATATTGTCTTAAATTTTAAATGCCTCTTAACTATTAAAGACTAACTGTTAATCAAGTCTTTGCCTGTACATACTTTCATCCCTTATTTAACAGAATCTTTTTCAGAATATTTATTTAAGTAAATGATTCTTCGTTTGTGTTGCATTCAAATATACCCATTGAAATGCTGTTAAATATTTTGTTCACTTTGACGTTTACAAATATAGACAATGTCTCTGAATACAATCATATGGTAATAGTTGGGAAGCTATGTTATAATATTGTTATAAAATAGGAACATGGACCAAATAAATCTCAATGACTGGCTGGGATACAAGAATGAAGCAGATGATGATTCACGGAAAGTTGTCAACATGGTCCGCAGTTTGCATTGGAGGGAACAAGGCACCAACCCTCGACACTGCCTTGCCAATAAAACAGTACTTGAAAATATAGCTGAGAATATTCTTGTTCAGAAGGCTCTAAAAATAAGAGTAAGATTGTATACCTATTTTTTTATTTCTTAATAAACATAAATACAATTTTATGTGTGATAATGGAATGTTCTATCAGCCTGTGTTATGAATATAGTCAAGCTTTATTATTAACAAGCTACTCGCCCCGGCTTCACATGGATATAAACCTATTCCTCTTGAATCACTCTACCTATTAAAAATACTGCGAAATCCATTGCATAGTTTTAAAGTTTTAAGCATACATAGGGACAGACAGTGATAGGGACTTTGTTTTAAACTATGTAATGAAATATGTTATTAATTTTAGTTAGGGCTTTAATTATGATCACAGGATGTAATTGATATAACTCATTAATCATTATTTAATTATTTATATTCACTTTTTTTTTTTGTTTGTTTGTTGCCTTCTAATAAACAAGTAAATTTTTCTCCACACTTTGTTAACTTCTAATTCTATTATTATTATACTTATAAAATACAATTATTTCTATATTACAGTCATGTGACTTACCTGGTTATCCAAGGTCCACATTTTTGATGGTGTTTAGCCCTGATGGGTAAGTCATAGAATACATATTTATTTTATTTATAGCTATAATAATAACCTTGCCCTCCAATCATCTTTCCATTGAATTATGTGAGTAAAAGCAGAGGAACAGATTCCAGATAACAGAAGATAACTGATATGTAATTTCGGATACGGATAGGCTTCGGATATAGAAATGATTATTGTACCAGATATTGATATGGATGCTGATATGAAATTATTTCGGTCGGATAATTTCGGTTACGGATATTATTTTTTTAAAGATTTTCAAAAGTACATATAATACAAATAGCTAAAAAAATGGCTACATAACGTGTCTCTGTTAGGCTCCGCCCCTATCCGATATTATCCGAAACTTTTATTTCGCGGTTATGGTTACGAATAGTTTTCTATATCGGATATCCGATAGTTTCGGTTACGGTTACGGAGTTCTGTAACATCCCTGATTTAAACAACCAGTACAATATGATCATATATACTCATTAGTACAATGGTTTCTATTTATGCGATCGAACCTGCGACCATCGAAAGATGAGACTGTTCGCCAAAAGGCTACACCTCATTCTGCTAATGACTACATAATAATGTTTAAAAAATTAATGAAAGAAAGTTAATATCACCATTTACAGGAAATTAACGTGAACTCAACAAATATGTACTTACGTGTTTTTATTCTTCAGGACCAAAGTTGCATCAACTCACGGTAACCATAATGTATATGTATCGGAACTGGCGAGTGGGAGACATGTGCGCATACTGAAGGGCCATCCACGAACTCCTTGGTGCATTGCTTTTCACCCTTCCCATCCGCAATTAATTGGCTCTGGCTGCTTAGGCGGCCAGGTGAGGGTATGGGATATTGCCAGTGTGAGTATGTCATATCATTTAAATCTATACTAATATTATAAATACGTACTTGTTTGAATGGATAAATTAAGTACCATGTGGTTTTCATATTATAATGCTTGACTAAAATAATGTTTACCTTAAAACATGACATTTCAATTATTACGACTTTGAAAATCTACATGTAATTAATCTTTATGTTTTTTCCGTTTTCAGGGTGGAAGTGAAGTGTGGAATGTGCAAAATGAGACAGTAATAGCATCCATTGCTTTTCATCCTCGTGACCAGTTGCTAGTTATTGCAACTCATAATGAATTGTATTTCTGGGACTGGAGTCAACCAGCGCCGTTTACTAAAGTTTCAACGAATAATGTTAATGAAAAAGTTAGGTACGTACCGCATGTACATACATACATTATTAGATTATTTTTGTCCACTTGAATGAATAAATCTTAATACATTTTGAATATATTAATTCTACATTATCTTATTTATTTATTTATAAATTTAAATAATGCACATGTAAGATAATTAACATGTGTTATGGATGATAATATAATGGTGCATCCGCTTGTGCTAAACGGATTACGGCGGGGGGGCACCAGTAGGGGGGATACGATGGGATGATTTCACCAAGAATTTGGCGCGATGATTTCCAGGGGGAACCTCGTGGTCAACCTGACATGGTACATTGCTGGCATCGGTCCACATTATTAACAATCCCCTTTCCCCCCTAATTAACACGTTATACATGATATAATTATTTTATATCTAGTGTTACACATTTTTTTAAAGAAATATTGTTATCTCTGAATTACAGATATGTGGCATTTGATGCTCTAGGTTACAAATTAATAACTGGAATATCCTTATGGGTAAATCCTGGAGGAGGCGGCAATTTATTAGCTCAGCAGAATCAACCGCCGGGTCCTGCAACTAATACCAATAGCAATAGAAGAGATGATGCTGATGATAATTCAAGTGGATCCAGGGGACAAGAAAGCCCAGGAACTGCACAGGATTTGATAGTAAATTCATACCAGAATCTGGTGCAAAGATATGATAGTCTTGTTAGGAATTACCAACGATTATTCAGAGTTCGACACCGACTCGTAAACACGAACACGCCAACTCCACCAAACACGGTATGTAGATTTGTTTAGAATCTTTTGACCATTGTCTATAGTAAGTCCTATTTTTGCATCTGCCAATTGTCTCTTAATTTTCAGCAACTGTACATAATAATTAAGCACGTTATAAAATAAGATTACTAATTATCATTAAACTATCTCTTCCTTTCATTAAGTACAAGCAAATGACACAATCCTGTCGTCACTAGCTTGCTTGCTTTACAAGCTTTATTCATTATCATCTGCTTTTTCCTTATCCCATTTATTTGGGGTCGGCGTAATATGTTTTTCTCTTCCATTCATCTCTGTTCGCAGTCATCCCGTTATTTACTCCCTTTCTCACCATATTATCTTTCACACTGTCCATCCATCTCTTTTTCGGTCTTCCTGTACCCTTATAACCATCCACATTCATATGTAACACCGTCCTTAGGATATGATCTTCATTCCTACGCATTACATGCTTTATTGTTTACCTTTTAATGGATTACATGTTAGCGAAAATACAGATTATAGAATTTATAGTTAAGAATTTGAAAATACACAGAAGTCTTAAATGTATACCCATTTATTATTATCGTTACCTGTTAATTTTATAACTTTTTTATAATTTGTAATTTTTTACAAATAAATAAATACCCTAAAGTATACTTCTATACTAGAAAGAACTGAATGCAACAAGTTTGATTACCATTTTTTTTTCAGATGGATAGAGGTACTGATCCCATGGAAACTGATATGTCAGCTGGTATGTCAAGTTGGACACGATCACCTCGTCCTTCTACGTCATCATCATATAATGAAGGTAATTTGTCGCTTAATACTACTTTCTATCACAACACAAACAACATTTACTTTTATTCCCCATACTTCTTGACAGAAAGTCACTTGAACTGGTTCATGTTAAAACACATATAAAAAACTAAACTGTAAGTGATTAAAGTGTTTTACATGAATAATTTCTTTTGCTTTTAATACAACAACCACCTATGATAGGATTATTAATATTTTTTTGTTGTACTATATTCTGCAAGAATTTGTTATGCATAATATAATAAATATAAAAAACCTAAAATATAGCATTCCTGTTTTATGAGAAACATATTAAGCAATGTGCATAATAATTATTTAATATAATACTATTTTTATCATAGAAACATATCCTTCTATTTATTAATATATGTTCACATATAGGTTCAACAGCACATCCAATTCCTGCAAGACCTCATCGTCAAGAAAATGGAGATAGTAGTGGAGAGAGCAGTGGTAGTCGCTTACTCAATCTAGATGTATTGTCTATTAACAGTAACCCTACGAGGTATTATTATTCAGTGACGAAAAACTATATTATTATAGCTCATTGTTATAAATGCTTAATTAATATATTGTTTTCAGAAACCAACATTTGTCATCAAATCAAGAACATTCCACATTCGGATCCCGATCCTCGGCATTTCAACCTCTAGGTGATACAAGGAGGACGTTCCGATCGAACGACCCACACGAACTCAACTCAACTAGACTACTACTAAATCCATTTTCATCTTCTAATAACTCACCTAGACCTAATAGAAATCCGTCTGATAGTCTTAGCCAATTATACAGGAATATCGGAAATGCATCTCGCACGAGCATATTCACGTCGTCGAGACCTGATTCCGAGCGCACAAACTTAGTAAGAGATTTCGCCCGACTCCGGCGGAATTCTTCTCCGTCGCAGGCTACCCGTATGCCGCCACGGTATAATGCTCCGAACTTCACAGATGAATCGCCGTCGACGTCTGCGGGACGAGCGTCCACCTCTGCTAACTCGCAACGGCCGACCATGACGTCCACTTCCACACAGATGAGCCCGATCACGGCGCCCGTAGACGCTCAAAGCATTAACGAGAGCCTAGACTTAATACGCGATATTTTGAGAGACTCAGGAACTAGACTGCTGAACTTGATTACAAACATGTCGCTGACTACATTGGAGAGTGTCGAGCGCAGCATGCCGCGGCGAGGCGCTGCTCGGGCGCAATCGGACGATGGGGACACCGCCCGTCCGCGTCTCCGCCTATTTAGATCCTCTCCTCGCCGCGATTTGCTTACCTCGAGCTCAGACTCAGATAGCGACCTTGAAGTCAATATTTTTCGAACAAGAAACTCTTCCTTTAGGGAGGACGACGCTAGAGGCGAGGAGGCTCCTTCCGCTGCTACTACAATTCGTCCAACTGATAACAGACCAGCGGCTACAGATCGCATGGTGTTTGAGTTGAACAATGATTTGCCTGAAGAAGAATCATCTCGAGATGCTGGCGGTTTCAATGTGTCGGTATCCAGATGCAGATTTCGAGTTAGGACACATGATGATTTCTTGGAAGCTGGCCCGAGTACGTCTAATAACCGAAGTGGAACCGAGTCCGCAAATGTAAGAACCGGAAACGAAACTTCAAATATTAGAACCGGTACCGAAACTTTCAATGTTAGATGCGGACCTGAGACTTCAGTCATAAGAAACAGGACTGACAACACTAACGTAAGAAGTAGCACTGACAACTTTAACATGAGAAACACGACTGAGACGACAAATGTCAGAAATATGGCTGAGATGCGAAATATTACTAGTGATACAGAAACATCTAATGTTAGAAGAGAGAATGAGACATCAAACAATACAAACGATACCGCGGCTTCCGGAAGTCGTGAAACAAACAATTTCGGTTTTAATCCAAATCGCCCTTCGACCAGTAGAGATAGTACTAATTGGCCGAGAGGTAGTGTTATACCACCTGATGAAGCATACAGAAAAGTGAAAGGTGGTGTCAAAGCATTACAGAAACACACTTTACAGTTGACAAACATGTGGTTGCGTGGAAACCGCACTACTATGCGAGAATTGCGTGTCATGTGGGAAAATTTACGTCGACGAGTATTGATGTTGCATAGAGAAACAGGAAGACAAGATTCACCTAGTTACTATACACGGTCACTGTTGGAAAGATGTATGATGTTAACTGAAATGTCAGACAACATAACTTTAAATACAAATAGAGGTTCTAGAAGCAATCAGAGAAATGATAATAATAACAGGAGCACAGGAGTGTCTCGTGACGAATCTGTAAGTGCAGATAATACAAGGACAAATACTTCCCAGAGTGAACCTAGCACGTCGACTGGAGCTCACACTGACGTTAGACAGCCACGGTCGGGAAGATCACCTTCAGCCAGAACCTCGTCCAGCTTCCGATCTTCCCCATCTATGAGAAGGAGGTTACAATCTAGTTATAGATGGAGACCGGAAGATGAACTTAGGAGACGATCCCGCAATCCAACCGCTAACCGATTAGCTGCTCGATATTCCAGATGCCGCAGGGACTACCCACGTGCTATCGAAATTAGCGCGACCAGACATGAGATACATATGCGTGCTATGCAAGTATTGTCTGTAATGTTTAATATGATGATGATGTGTTTGGAAGAGCGTGGTCTTAGTCAGCTCATTATTGATATGTTGCGAACACTGAAAAAAGCCTTAGCATTGACATGTTTAATGTTGATGACAAACAGAAATAACGGAAGATCTGGAAATAATCCAATGACATCTACTCAACCTGTAAATTCCCTGAATGTTGTTCGTATTCAGAACGTTGACCACACTGGACCTGTTAATGTAGACGGACCTGATGATCCTGCCTCACCGCATGTTGCAAATGATGGAGAAGAGGATCGATCGCAAATACAAACTGATGAAAATAAGCAAAGTAGTTATGAAACACCTTCAACATCCCATTCAACGGCTATTGATAATAATAACATACAAGAAGATTCTCCGACTCCTTCGCAAAGCGCTTCACAAAGATGGAGTAATCGTCTCGCTGTACAAATTGCTGCCGCTAATAGAAATAATTCAGCAACCGCAAGAAACAGGCGAGAATTGTATTTAGAAAGTAGACGACTAAAAGCTTTACACAGAACGAACCCAACTGCGCACCCGCTTATTAAAAAGAGAGCACTTCCTCCAGTTTCGACTTACAGAATTCCAGCGTTGCGTTCTTTGCCCAGTAGACTCAAAGAGCCATCCTTATTCACACCCAGACGGAGACCTGGGCCAAGTAATAACGAAGAACCAGTCGCTGGGCCGTCAAATGCGCCGTCAGAAACTTCAAGTGCTCCAAGGCCTGGAAACGTCGAAGCAATGAATGAATTTGAGCATAGAGTTAATCTAATTCGCATAGCCCACATGCAAGCGGTCAATTTTAGAAACGCAGCTCGTAATAGGTTCAGGCGTCTTCAGACAATTCGCCTATACACGCCATCGTCAGTGCGAGAAATGTTCGCCCTTTCATCAAACAATTCAGAAAATCAACAAAGCAATCAATCTCCTCTACAAAATGCATCAGAACATGGCAATCGTCGTACTTTCGCAACGTATCGACCTCATATTCTAACACCTCGCAGTGAATCTGTCGGTACGCCTATTGATGATGACTTACATACAATTTTCAACAACATTAACTTGCCACTTATGCAAGTTAATGAACAGCCAACTAGCTCTGAAAGCCAAGGAAGTCCTCAATCCCAGCGTTTGCCGCGAATCCACGAATATCTGCAACCCATTATATTAGCGCAGGTATGTTGAACTTATTTTTTCCGAATTAACTAGGTAGCTAGCGCACTTTACTGAATTCCAATAATAAGTATGTTCAGTAGGCAATTGTTACGGATGGATTTTTTTAGTAACTGGAATATCAAATAACCTGACTACCCATACAGCACCATGCCACCATATTCTCATGTGACGCTGATAGTAAGACTCAAGCGTTGCTATTTAGGAGATCTAATGTATCATGCATGATCAAGTACTGAATTTGCAGGATATGCAGTTCTTAATTTCATTACATGACGACTTTATACAAAATCTATGTCTGTAATGTAATAGTAATAATTTCTATAGACACTCGTAATACAGGAATTCATATGTGCATAGTTAAAAAATCTACCACTACATTTATATTACCTGCTATAATTCTTACTAATATTATAAATGCCAATGTTACTCTGTTTATATGTCTATTTGTCGCGCTTTCACGCCAAAACTACTGAACCGATTTAAATGAAATTTCGTACACAGATAATCTTGACCCTGAGAAAGGACATATGCTACTTTTTAATGCGAAAAAAGTGTTGTGGTGGGTTATAAGGGGAGACGAAAGGTTGTATGAAAGTATAATAATTTTTAAAGCTTGAAGCTTAAACTTATATTTAAGACTATTGAAATATAAATAAAGAAGAAGGATTGTAACGAGTAGAAAGGGGGGATGAAGGATTCAAGGAATAAACAGCCTAAAAAATACGTGTCAAGCTTCAAGCTTTATAAATAACGATACCTCTATATGTATCGTTATTTATAAAACTAAAAGATTGACACGTATTTTTTAGGCTGTTGATTAAATATTAAGAAATATATCAAATCAAAGTTTTAAAAATGTTATCCTTAAGGTGGTAAAATAAAATAGGGGATGCTTGTAAAGTCGTCATAATTGAACCTAAAATGATGAAACTTATTTTCTTTTTTTAGATTGTTGAATATTTTTTCTTTTTTTGGTTAAGGTCACTATAACACTCGGACCGAGTCGTGTGCACAGCTAGTATAACATATAACATAACTAAAATACGTTACTTGACGAATCGTGTTGCAGAATGCAATGGTAATGGATGTAGAAGGCGGCGGAGCAGATGGTAACGGGGCGGGGCCCAGTGGCAGTGGTAGCGGTGGCGGAGGCGGAGGCGGCGGCGGCGGAGTAGGCGCGGGCGCGGCGGCGGGGGCCATGCGCCGCATGAGCGGCATCGCCGGCCTCCTCGACGCCGGCATCATCTCCGAGCCCGCGCCCTCGCACCGGGTGCAGGCCTGGGACTTCACCACCGGCACCACGCCCGATATCGCTGATAGTATGTATTTATGATTATTATTTTTATATTTGGAATAACAAACAAGCTGACGACCCACGTGATTGTAAAGTGGTAATAGGTTTTTTTTTTTAATGTTTGGAATGAGGAAGAACTACTAACTTGAACTGATTGTAGTGGTAATAAACCAGTGCCTAAATACACCTAAAAGCATTTTACTATAACCATGACATGGCTGCATATCGTGCATTTTCTTATCTCATTTAATAGATGTTTCTCTTATCTCGTGCTTAAACCGAAGGAGCACAGTACAAGCGGTTGAAATAGGTGAAACTCTGTGTAAAGCCTACGTCGGTCAAAATATGTCTAATTTTATGTATACATAATCCTTGCCATAGTAGTATGTATTATCATAATATTCCTTATTAGAAAAGTTATATAAAAATGTGTATGTATGCAAATATACATGTCCTCGACTATGTCCTATAATTTTCAATATGACATGTCACAATGACTAATAATAATGATTGACGGTGAATTATTAATAATTGATGCCAGTAGATTATTCTTAAACAATACAATGAAATACAAGATACATAACTTGATAAATCGATGAATTAGATACGACACTTTTATAAAATTATTTTATTATTATTTTTCAGGTGAAAAGAATGTAGTGGTCCCGAGATGCAAAATTCATAATGATGCCAGCATCGACATATCTAAAGATGGCCGACTACTAGTAGCTTTATTACCGTTGCCCCGATTCAGGAGCACTAATCAATGGCTCGGTAAGTAAGAGACACCCATTGCTTATATCGCATGTGGCACTTTTTTATTATAAAAATTATGTGTAAAAGCTTTTAAAGTAAAAAGCACCAAAGTAGTTTTTAGCAAAGATTAGAGTGATTTAAGAGGAAGGTTATAATATATGTACACCCGTGAAAAGTATGGGCGGGTAGCGGAATATATATACAGCTGTCCCAGCAAACTCTGTTTTGCCATATAATTTTTAATTTAAGTACTAACATCCCTATTACAAGGGTTAAAATTTTAAAAGGGTGAAAATTGAGTGGGCCGAATCATAATAAAATAAAATATCATAATATCATTAAGGGCTATGAAAAATATATGCTGGCCGATTCTCAGATATGCACACAAAATTTTAAAAAAGTCAATATGGTCGTGTCGCAGGAGTTCAGTAACAAACACCGCAACACGAGAATTGTATATTTTAGATATATTTATAAAAGTTCTGCATTGGCCTTGGTAATTTGGTGAGGACATCGTGCAGAAGTACAAAGTGGGGTGTCTAAGTGTTGGGTTGGTGTCCGCAGGCGTGTACTCGCTGGAGTGGGCGCGGCTGGGCCAGTGCCTGCACACGGCGGCGCTGGAGCAGAGCGCGGTGTCGGTGGCGCTGTCGCCCACCGCGCGCCACCTCGTGGTGGGACTCGGCTCGCGCCGCATCACCACCACGCCCCACTCGCGCAACAACGTCTTCGCGCTCCTCTACAAGCTTTACCCCAAAGGTGACTACAATCAGTTACACTACACTACACTCCCAATAAAATATTAGTTTCGATCCGAACGATTAATGTGGCTTTCGTGTTTTTGTTTTGGGCTTGGGCATTGGACTCCCTAAAATATGGTCGAGCGCAGTGATGGCTAACTCATACGTCATACTGCTTCTAGCGACCGGTCTGCTCTAATTACTGAATGATTTAATCTTATTGTGTACTTATATTTGACCCTAATAAATTAGTGTTTGTTGGTAATTTACAACGATTGTTTATAAGAGCGACACACAAGTTTCTTGAACATTCTTCTTGTGATGAGACAGTTTTCCGAATGAGCGATAGATAAAAAAAATATATGCTGACTATTCAAAAGTGCTTAAATTAAGTTTGTTTCAATAAAGGATTTTCTATTCTATATTATATTCTATACTAGAATACAAACATTCTAGTATAAACATACTTCTTTTCGGATTCTTTTTTTTATATATTAGGACTTGCAACTTATGTAGCTAACGGCTTACCTTGTGGAAAGTCGCAACCGTCGACTATTTAATTAAATAGTTCCACGGACATCACATAGATCTGTGACATCCATGATGCAATGCTATTACTGAGGACTAAGGTGTTTTACTTACGCATCTCATAATATCACAGCCACATATCGCCCTTCTCACCAAAACAACGGCTGACAAGCTAACCATATAAAGGGCTGTCTAAATAAATGAAGGGCATCTGTTCCTTTTGACTAAATGTAAATTGTAGAAGTTTCTATTTTCATCGACCTTTTAAATAAGAATTCGAAGTTTTGCCAACAAAACTGGAAAATCTGCTGTTTGCCGTATGTGGACTTATCTATAGGATTTAATGCAAATCCCGATGACCTGATTGTTGATCATTTAATAGTAATAGATATTTATAATATTAGATATTTAATGTGTTACGGCCTATTTTATTTGTTATAACTCTATAGCATTTTGGTATACAATAAATTTGGAAGATGAATATTAATAATAAAATAATACAATTATTATTTTTAGGAAATACAAGTAGAACTAGCCTGTTGCCGATAAAGGAATTAGAACAGAACTGGGAGCACAGTTTTACAAGCCTCAATTGCATCCGCTGGGCGCCTCAGCCTGGACAGGGCCTGGTATACGCCAACAACACCGGTCAACTTATCATCATGAGCTAAGTGCACTCTCAATAAAGACGTACATGCATGATATATGCATAATAAACGTAATGACTAACTCACCATATACTACATATGTGTTTATGAAGAAAAGCGTAATTACTGCTAATGCTACAAAACTTGTAATTTAACAGCGCGAAATACATATTAAATGACATTTTTTATAACTATTTTCCCGTCAATCGTATATTTACATTCTAGACGAGTATGAACAATGTATTTAGGTTCATACTAAGTTTCTGATCTCGCTGTTTAGACTTATTTGGACTTATTGTGATGTTGAAGAATTTGGAATCTTTTTCATATAAAGGTAAGATAAAAGTAACCAATGTTGATAACCATGTAATGAATGTAAAATGTTTGTATCGTTGCGTTCCTACACATTCGTTATATAGTAGAAGGTTGTAACAACTCTGGAAGCTGTTTCAAAAGTCGGTAATTGATATTTGTGAAATCTTCTATATCTTGACTGAGACTTCAGAACTAATTAATTAATAAATATAAGAAGTAGGTACGCAAATTAAAAATATATTAAGAATAATTAGGATTTTAAATAGTATCAATAGCGCTGCTCTATGAAATGAAATATAGTATTTCAGTAAACTTGTTTATGTTACTTTTATGGAATAAAGTCTGAAATAAAATATTACCTTTCTAAAACGAAACATTACTTAGTATCTACTACTATATCTAATATCGGTTACTTAGAATTTCAATTTAAATAAATTATTCTGGACATAAGAACAATTAGGTATATTAAATTAGGAGTAAAAATATTCCAATAGCAACTTGATTATTGGTTAATTACTATGGTATTTATTTATTAAAATATATACTCTATTAGTTATTGTATAAAATCTCAATCGGTATATTTATGCTATTTTCCATCAGATTAAGACAGTGGATCTGATATTTGTTACTGAGCATTTGTAGATATTATGTATATGACACGTATCGTTTTTTTAATTAAGTATCTTTGTTCTTTATATCTAATATTCTTTCTTTCATTATCGTTTATATCTCATTTGACAGAATACGATAATTGTTTTACGGAAAATATGAGTTTTATTTAATTGAGATGAATATGTAATATGTACGAAGTTTCATTTCCACTATTACTTTTAAATGTCTTAATAATATCTATCTTGAAGTAGTCTCTGTTATAATCTTTTGGCAAGTGGCAGCAGTAAAAAATGTTCATAGATATGCACGTTTTTCTAAAAATATACTTAGATTGACACAATAAATAGAATAATCACAAAAATGTCGGTGTTAAATAGTTGCTTTTATCAGTAATTGGGTAAATATTCTTGAGTCAATCCACGTGATGTTCGACCATCATATTGTAGGATTATTAAAGTATAACATAAATATGTATATTACTAATAATTGGCCGTAATCCCTACAAACATAAGAAAGTGTACAATGTAGTAAACGTCAAACACGCAAGACGAGCAGAGTTATCATTTTAGCTAAATATTTGAAGCAGATTAAAACAATCATTGTCATTTATAAACCATTATAGATTTTATTCGTATATATTGTATATCGCTATTTATTTCCGAAGTTACGTGTAAATAAGAAAACAATACGTTGTAATCGTAGATTCATTTGTTATTCAGGTGCAAATGAAAACTACATTATCTATATGACGCAGGATTGCAGTTAGGATCTTGTATTTTTACCAGGATAACTGACATTCTGTTTTGTGTCCTTATCAAAATGTATAACTTTGCACCATAAGACATCGTTTTAATAAATATGAATGTTGATATCCTTAACTATTCAGATATTCGCGGCTCCCTCAGTTCCAATTGACGTTTTACTCAAATAAGCAAATCTAAGTGTCCGTAAATATATTTCCTACTTTAATTCATATATTTCTGCAAGAGCATATAGCCCTACAGTTTTCATTCAATATTTAAAATAAAATTGGGTATACTCAATAGAATAAAACTAATAGATAAGACAGAATGGATTTTACTTAATAGTTGTGCATAAGTAATTATAAAAAAATCACATTATACGCTAATTAAGTATCTCAGTTTGAAATCTGTTTTTGCCAAATGAATTAAGATTACTTAAAAAAATGTAGCTATTTTAAACATAATTATGTTTTAATAATGTTAGGTAGATTTGACCTGTTGTATAACATATCCATACTTCTTCTAACCTGAAAAATAAAATAATTACTTTATAGATTTAGAGAGAAATACTTACATTTTACATTAGGATTTAAAAAGATTTGACTGGAATTGCTAATATCGCCAACCGACGCCTATATATAGCATCACTAATGATATTAGGACACAATTTGATGCTAGTATTATCTCTCATGCGTTGCCATGCATAAGAACTAATGTTGTGTATCTGTAACCTTTGATTTCATTGCCATATCTTAATTATTTAAACTGAAATCCCCAAGCTGCCAATAGATTTATATGAGATTGACTTACCGATGTAGGAGGAGGGTGTACAAAATCAACTGTGGCATTACAATCTTATTTATAGGATTAAATGACTTTTCCTTTTATTTTATAGTATCTATGAATTGCTTGCCGTTAGAGATGTGTTACACAGGGAACAGCAAACTATCTAATGTTAGATATTACTTAATACCGAATGTATGTATATATTCTTGATAAGTTTTCTTATACTTACATTGTGCAAAAAATTTAGTCAACGCTTAAAAACGTTGAATTTTAGCGTCAGTTTCCTATATTTGGTTCTTCCAATATAAAAACACTCTTTATATTCATCAGTGATTTGTATTATATTAGAAAATAGTTGATGGTAGTATAATATCGTTTATTTAAGGTACTTACGATGTTTCAAGCGATTGCTGAAAGAAAGTTCTTAATTTAACGGTATGTTTTTTTTTTGTATGTAATGTATCAAAATTGATTGTATGTTAGAGTATGTATGTGTAGACTTTGTCTGCATTGATAGTCGGTTTATTTTATTTGGAAAAAATTAGTTGGTCAAGTTGAATAAAACAATTATTTATAACCGTTAAATTATATTGTTACTTTCTTTAATTGTTTAAGTTAAACCCAATGTAATAAGTTTCTATTTTTCTTATAGACTGATTCTTCACCAGGGTATAAAGTATCAACATTTTATTTGAAATGTTTGTAGGATTACTGAAGAAGAATATTTTGAAGTGAATATACATTTTACATAAATTTACAATATAATATAGTAATCTCTGTTTAATAAAATATATTCGTTCCCATCTACATATTATGTATAATAATAATAATAACGGACAATTTACATAGCGCCATTTAGTCCCAGTTATGTGTTATGGGTAAATTAGGACAACTGATAGAAATACTAATATACATATTTCCTGTAAATACCTACATAGAAAATACCCAGTCCAATACAGACAATCATACTTATGAATACATGTTTGTAGTGTGCGAGGAATCGAACTTGCGACTAGTAGGAAGTAAGGCGGTCTGCAAACCGCTGGAGCACCCCACCGAATACATAAATACATTAATTTTCTATGGTCAATGTTAATTACAACTATGCTGTATTTATGTTTCTATACTTTTTATTGAAATATTGAAATTATACGTTAAAATCTTGAACATATATACCTAAGTATTCCACTCTTCAGATCATGTAGTATTCTTATTTTAATGTATTCGGAATTCTATTTCAATATCGAATATAATATAATTACGAATAATATACATATGCAAAAGATTTCATTTGAATGATATTATAAATAGGAACAATTAAATATATTCTCTCTTACTCATTAGAATCGATTAATTTATAGCATGATTTAGGATGAGAAAACATTTCAAGAATTGTCTAGTTTCCCAAACCATTGCCATACGTTTAAATGAATTTAACAATACTTGTTTTTTTCCATACTTTGCAAGTTTTTCACCTGCTGCCAATGTATATTGTATACTTACATATTCTTCTTCAGTTGGTATGTTGACATGTGGAATTATTATGTTATTTATTACATAGTTTCTGCTATATCAGTGTACAATTATAATGAATAAGTATAGGTGTACAGTTGATCCAATATGATTGTGTCTAATAAATATCAAATGCCATCTATTAGTGTTTAATTTTTTTAATATAATTATTTCATTTCAGTTCCAGTCTTCCATACATATCTCTACATTAAAATATTGAAAAACACTAAATGTGGGAATTCGTATATTACTGTTAATATAAACAAAGGAATGATATAAATATTTTATTCAGTTTTCTATAGAATGTAATATTGCAAATTTGATGGTGACAAAGAAATGATATAATATAAAATTATTATACAAAAATTTTAGAAACATACAACAATATCTAGTACTTAAATATTTAACACAATATCTTTTATGAATGTATTTTAACTACAGAGGTACTACTACTAAGCAAAATATGGAAATAAGTCTTCGATATTTATAATATAAAATAACATTATGGTAAAATATACTTTATCAAATACAATATATTATATATACAAAGAAAGTTGTAACCAATACTGACCGCAATAACGTTATTTGTTATCTGTTCAACAACTTATACTTCAGAATTTGTTGATTTAGAAAACAAAAAAATATACCAAATAAATATTGTAATAAAAATGTCATACATGATTATATACAAGTCTCCTCTGTTATCTTGATGAAGTTCTTAAGTTGACATGCTTAAATATTTTGCCTTTCCAAAACGCTGAACTGAGGGACACGTAGCCTAATGTGACAATATGTATTGTCGATTGTGACTTCATAACTGTCACTAAATAAGTCATATTAACTAAAATGGTTTAAACAACTTACAAAGGAATAAGTCAAACCATAAGTTACGCTAATTCCTACAAATCTTTATTAAAAATGTAATTTGCTCGTAGCACAAATATACTTTCTTCCCTGACTCATCACAGACCAAATGTAAAATCCGTTTAGAATTCCAATGTTTTCTACTGAACGCTGTGTGTTCGCTGCGCGGACAACACTCTCCGGTGACTTAGAAGCGTTAAATATAATAGCATCTATAACTAATTTCTTCCTGAGGAGCAAGTGGCGATTTTATGAAATGCAATAAATGTTAGTGATCCACCGGTTTTAGCTCTTTGATTTGTTTTATAAGGTAAGCCTTCTCATCGTTGAATTGTTCATCCTCAGATCGATCCGTGTGGAACTTAGTAAGGAAGTCCACCAACTTATCTTGATTCCTCAGCAGTATATCCAGAATTGGTTTTGGTTTATTTGGATTCGCTACAAATACCTGAAATTAAAGAACTTTGTAAGGTATCTAATAAAATTATTTTAAGATATGGTGTACATCAGGACTTAAAATTATATGTATTCATTTGACAATAACAAAAGCACTACACCAATGTTAGTAGTATACATCACTAATACATAACAAAATCGGAACGACAGAATTATTGAATATGGTTTGCCAGAAACGATTTGTTTATTTGTTTTGTTAGTTTTGATAAGAACAGTGTAATATATATATTTATGGTACTTAGTTTTAACAACTAAATAGTTTAACTGCAATCTAGAATACGATAAAAATAGAATTATTATTGGAATAATAACGAAGTAACAGAACATTTTGCGTTTGGCACTCAACTTCCGTCCACTTCACACTTACACATAACTGGACGGAATTTAATGACATGTCAGAAAAGACACTCTGTACTTTAATTCACACGGGTAAAACCTCGAAATACAGGTAATATTATACCGTAACTAAATTCATACCTTAAAAACGTGGAAAGCCTCAAATTGTATATTACGTGATTTCTCTTTTAGCATATTCATCATAAGTTTAAGATTATCAGGGTTGGTGATGTAACGTGTCATGATGGAGAAGTTGTGCCTGTCAAGGAGTAATTCCCCGAGCAATTTGAGGCTCTGCCGTCGTGTTACATAGTTCTCCGAATTCAGTAGCCGTTGATAATGGCTAAACACTTTATCATAGTTTGCTTCTAAAAATTCCGCACACAACATTTTGTGTCGCGTTAATAATTCCTGAAAATGTTTTCAATAAAATTCATTGTTTTATTAAGTACAAGAATTATATCTAATCATTTTCAATAATTTTGTACTTTGACCAACAAATTGTTATTTATACTATATTTATTATTAATGGTTTAGTTACAAACTAAAACAGTACAAACCTTAAAAGTAGAAAAGGCATCTGAGGCAATATCAAATGTGGAAACTTCTACATAACGAAAGAAATTATAAAAGTCATCTGAATATAGCATAATTTTAGCCAAGGCCTCGTATCTGGCGCATTCTCGCAGCATTGTGCCACAATTCGATGCAATCTCCTGATGTTCATATCTAAATTAATAAATAGATAAAAGGTAATTATGATGTAATACAATTTTAAAATATCAGGAAAATATATAAGTTTTAGCCGCCAATAATGCCACTTTAAGATAATGGTTTATTGAAATCATATGTCACATGTTCAAAATATCTAATGGAATTAGATCATATTATCTACTAATATTACAGACGCGAAAGTTTGCAAGAATTAATGTTTGTTACTCTTTTATGCCAAAACTACTAATAAAAATATTTGATACACAGTATCTGTCGTTATTTTAGAATAACTGACCCGCGCAACTTCGTCTGCGTCACGCGTTTTTGTAATATTCTTCATTGTAGTTAAGCTGTTGGTCGTAGCGTGAAAGTTTAACCTCATTATCCCCAATAAATGGGTTATCCAACAATAAAAAGATTTTCTAAATTGAATCGGTACAGGATATTAGATACCCAAACATCCAAACTTTATTTCTATAATATTAAACATAGATTGACACATGGGATCCTTTTGCCCTAACTCACGCAGACCGTGCCGCGGGATACGCCTAGTTATTTATATCTTGCAAGTATGCCGTAAGCGTAAATAGCAATGAACTATATGCTTACTCTATCTTAAAAATGCTATTATCGAAAATTTATATTACCCAGACATCAAAGTGAAGAGAATTTCCGGCTTGGTACATATATACTCCACAGTAGGAGATCTAGTACCAATCTGACGCCTCAACACATTATTGAATACCTGAGCCACATCCTTCTTGCCTTCAAAGTCAATACGATTGAGGTTCTGGAAACAAATAAAAATGGTACTAATCTTTAAAGCATAAAGCGGTCATTGTACTATTATACAAATAGGTATAATTTATTCTGCTAAAAGATGTTATATTAAAAATGCATATGAACTCCGTATATGAGTTATATTGTAAGCATTAAGAAAACAGTTTTCCAATAATTCCAGTATGAAAGGTAGCTAAATGATTTCGGTCGCGGAAAACGTGTAATTTGTGGATTAAACAGAACATGAAGTGGATTAAACAGACCCTAAGCTATTACAATGATGGCAGGCAATTATGCCTAATGAAGCAGCAAGGCAGTGAATGATTAGGTATTGTTAATCTATTAGGCACAATAGCATCATAGACTAAAGATAAACATCACATGTTTTTAAATACACTGTAATTGGCATTCTGTACCGAAACGGTCAAATATAACCCTCATGAACATTTCACCGAGGTAGACTTTCTGGCTCTATACGCTCTACATCACCTGTTTCTACCAGCCAACTAGTTGAGTAATGGCAGTGAAATTACAGAATATGGTTGATATCTTAGTCCTCCGGAATGGCAACTTAGATGTGGAACCTCGGGCGTAACATGATAATCAGAGGCCGTGATCGGCCGTCAGCTTGTTTGCCATTCCAAGTGGAAAAAAACAAGGAGTCCTTATCACGGGTGTTATCCTTAGGAACCGCTAACACTATCTGTTTGAATTCCGTACAATTGTATTACTTTTTACCGACTTTTATCAAATATTTAGTGATATATATTGAGGTGTATAATATTGTGTATCTCTTTATTGTAGATCTTAAAATGCTCTACTATTTTGAAGTGTACACTATTTTTTTTTATATACTATGGTGGTGCATACAACAAATATACGGCCTATCTGATGGTAAATCGTTACCGTAACCTATGGAGAACCCCTTTTGAACCCTTGAGACACCAGGGGTGTCATATGCGCGATGCCGACACTAAAGGAACCTTAATATACCCTTCTTGAAAAACCCCATGCTGTAGTCTCGTGAGAACACCTCGGCAGGAAGTTCATTCCACAATCTAAGTGTACATGGGAATGAGCTCCTCTGAAACCACACTCGAGATCGAGACCACTTAGGTTCTAGCCTGTGGGGATGAATTCCCTGTCGATGGCGAGCAGTGTGATGTATGATCTAATAACAACAGTTTTTGTTGTCTCAAAGTAAATTGGTTGCGATAAACAAATAGTTTACCATATACCTTGTGTCATTATTTCATAAAAAGAGTAATAAGTACATACAAAATGTAGGAGTACAGGAACAGAATGTTAATCATTAATTAATTAAATATTAATCATAAATAAGGAAGTAGACCAACTGTGATGACTTTTGAGGTTTAGTTGTTTTGTATTATTTATTTATATACACACTATCATCACAGGCATATATAACAGTGCATACAATATTATACAGTTGTAATTAATTGATAGTATCATAGCCTAATGATTTAATAGTCTGACTTAGATTGAAAGATTGTGTTTTCAAATCTATGGATTTAAAACTTAATTTAATGTTCTGATGTGCAAAAAAACATTTTTCAATAAAATTTCAAAAAGATTTTGTTCTTTACTAAATTAGTTTGGTCACATACTCAGCTATCATTTAATATTAATTGAATATCCTTTATATAATTTACTAAACATATACAATACATATAGGAAAATGTAACACTATATACTTATTTGAATAATTCAAATTGATAGCTATACAAGAAGGAATTTTATTTCTAAATTTGGTAAATATATATTAAATTATTATAGGCTGCGTTTACCTGAATGAGTAGCAGCAATAAATTTGTATTGTATAGTTCTTGTGCCAGCTGTGCAACAATGATGTCAGTTTGTGGTTCCGCATCAGACGTACCATAGAGCATGTTTTTTATTAGAACCTGTTGAGAATGAAAAATGAAAATATGTAATAAATTATAATTTCACTTTTATTTTATGTAATTAGAATAGCAAAAAATCTAAGGTCCCATCAGATAGTAAATAATTTTACCTATGTACATGAACAGCACCATGGATCATCACATTATTATGCGACACCCATTGTAGTACTTGTGGGTGAACAGAAATAGCTTTTTTTTACATTACTCTAATGCTGTTGGCTGAAGCTGGCCTTTACAGCTTCACTGGATGATACTGGATGTACAGGTTTTGATTTTAAAAGACTTTACTCCTGTGTTGTCTGTCTACTAATTACATACATTTAAATTGTGAAAAATGCAATTGAAGCATAAATTTAATTTTCCACAATTTTAATATTTTTATCTATAAAAAAAAATTCTTATGTCCACATAGACTAGAAACATCAATTTTGGAGTAGATTGGATGTAATTGACCAGTTGAGTAAAAAATTATTAAAAACATAACATCATCATCATTATCATCATCATCACAGCCCGGAAGACATCCACTGCTGGCCATAGGCTTTTCCCAAAGATATCCACAAGGATAAAAACATAACAGCCAATTCCTAAATATTATTTTCTAAATATCTTTTAGGAAAAGGTAATATAGACCTAATGTCATATATATATCAAAAGTAACCCAGGTACTTCTTAAACACATCAAAAAGAGTGACTTATTAAACTACATATAAGGTTAAAATTATAAAAATTGTATTTTTTAATAATACAAATATGTTTGAATCACTAACATTACATTCTGAAAATATACAGTTAACAAAAACCTGTCAACAGGTCATTATCAATATTATTTTACATAGTTTTATAGACTTAAGAACGAAAGAATTAATTATTATGTTTGAAAACTGACACCAAATACAAAAGATTGATTGAATGAGTCATTTAAGACACATCATTACTATTATGCACTAACACCTGTATTATTTACAAATCTAAAAGTTGATTGGTTACAATATTTATTTACCATAGTGACCCAAAACCTTAGTTAATAATACAGTTGAAAGTATTTAAAACGTGTTTCTTGTAAATATCTGACAATCATATTGCAATTTCTCCATGTGTTTTGATTGATTGAACACTATGTGAAATAATTATGTTATACTTTACAATTACGCGGAACTTACCAAATTTTTACTGACATCTTCTTGGGCTTTCTCCGCTTTTTTATCGCCCCTCTCTAAGGCAGTCACAGCATCTTTTAAAGATCTCACAAGCTCCGCTGGGCTCTTCTGAGATTTACCAAAAAGAGGCATAGTACTTCAATATTTTTTGGAGATTGACTAAAAAATTCTGTCTACATAAGATTGAACCTGAAAATGTGTACTTTATTTAATAATTCAACACATTACTGTGAATTTTTCACCTGATATCCACGAGAAAGCAAAATAGAATATTTGACTAAATTAAAAACGTTTGCCAACCTGGCGGATGGTCACTTATCTTCGTGGGTTTCTTTTATTCCGATGTATTATAACTTAAATCAATAACAAATACACAAAAAAATAAGTATTAAACTCACTTCAAATAAAAATTATTATAATTTTTCTTATTAAGTCAGACGACAGACAGAAAGGTAAGTAAATCGAACCAGTGTTGACAACTGCATCATTTTCTCAGGAACAATAAACTACTAAACAGAGAGAAATTTCTTAAATGCCTAATTTTTGACAAAAAAAATAGTTGATTGTTTATAATTAGGTACATATTATGAAAAATATTTTTATAGTTTAAACAATACATTATACAATTTGATTTCTTGGGTTTTGACTGTCCATAAAATCACTGGATTTTAATGATGTAACGATATTACTAACAATTTAAAATTTTTACTGAATTAAATTGAATGATTGACAATTTAATAGGAACTATTAAGAGTTGCAAATGTCTACTAAAAATGTGTTAAATGTACATTGTAGAATTATTCCGTTTCTGAAAAGAATTGTTAGCAACAACATTATGTAAAAGACACAAATACCTTAATATCAACTTTTATTTTGACCTTGTTACTACCATTTAAAGTATATACCAATAGATTTTATGAAATTAATGTATTAAGAAATTTTCTTAATTACATTACATTACATTAGCAATAGGTTAATAAATTTCATACGAAAGTGCAATAAATTTCTAAATCGTACTGTAACTTATTAATGTGGCAACACTCATTCGAACAGCTGTAGCTGGCAGTAGGGATGTGACATTCTGAATTAAATATTCATAATGGTAAGTAGTACAATAATCGATTAAAAAATATTGTTTTTTTCGAGCATTGGTCCATTCTTTCCATAGCAATAATTTTTGCAGGCCTAATTTTAGGCAAGTGGGTCTTATGTTTTTTGTACAGAAATTTTAAAAGTATTTCAGTCAGTTTTTGTTCTTTCTTCATCATCATTACAACATCGTCCATCATCATGTCATTATTGACGAGCTGTCATTCTCATACATCAACGTAAATCAGACAGATCTATGCTGTAATATTGTCATGTGGCAAACTCAAGAACTGCAATTATTCAAAAGATAGGTTATCACATCTCGATGTAATATTTCAAATAATTCACGTAATTATTAAAAATAAGTAAAATCGTAATAATCGCAATGGCTGATATATCCAGTGAAAAATTATCCAAGAAGTGAGTATTGTGGTGTAAATATGTTCATTTTAAAGAAATTCGCGTCGACACCGATCGCTTGTGTTAGAAACAATTTGGTTTATCAATGCAGAAATTTATCAAGTGCAGACAGCAAACGGTTTGTTAATATCATTTTAGAAAAATATTTATCCACAAGCTTTACTTATATTGCACGTCCCACTCTTTTGTAGCGAATTGAAACGTCGTCAAAAGGCGGAGCAGAAATTGAAAGAAAAAGCTGAAAAAGCTGCTTTGCAGCCACCTCCTTTGGCAGCAGAGAAGAAATCTTCAAAGTTAGAGGAAGAAATCAGTCCAAATGAGTATTATAAGTTGCGTACTGCAGCTGTTGCAGCTCTTAAAAATGGACCAAAAGAAGAACATCCTTATCCACACAAATTCTCTGTCTCAATATCCTTAGACGAATTTATTGAGAAGTACAATGATATAAGTAGTGGTGAAGTCCTTGAGAATGTAACTTTATCTGTAGCTGGCAGAGTTCATTCCATCAGAGAGTCTGGAGCTAAGCTAATATTCTATGATTTAAGAGCTGAAGGTGTTAAAATTCAGGTAAAGTTAATTGTAACAAAGTGTTCTCTGATGAAGTAAAACATTTTTCAACATTTATTAATGATTACTTAATTAGTAAATAAATGCTTAAAACTATATTTTTAGGTGATGGCTAATGCAAAAATCTATGAGTCAGAAGAAAAGTTCATACATGACACAAGTAAACTGAGGCGTGGTGACATTATTGGTTGTGTTGGCCACCCGGGCAAAACCAAGAAAGGAGAACTTTCTATCATACCAAAAAGTATTAAACTACTCTCACCTTGTTTGCACATGCTGCCACATTTGCATTTTGGATTAAAAGATAAAGAAACTAGATTCAGGAAAAGATATCTGGATCTCATTTTGAATGACAGGGTATTTATCTTTTGCTTATTCCTTTACATTTTCTTATTACGAGTTAGAATGGATATTATGTTAATGGTAATAGAGTGTTGAAATTTAAACCATATTATTTTATAGGTAAGACAGATATTCTATACAAGGGCTAAAATTATAGCCTATGTCAGACGTTTCCTGGATAATTTAGGTTTCCTAGAAATTGAAACTCCAATGATGAATATGATTCCTGGTGGTGCTGCTGCCAAACCATTTATAACTCATCACAATGATCTAAACATGGACCTGTTTATGAGAATAGCCCCAGAACTATACCATAAGATGCTGGTGGTTGGAGGTCTTGACAGAGTTTATGAAATTGGAAGACAGTTTCGAAATGAGGGAATTGATTTAACACATAACCCAGAGTTCACAACATGTGAATTTTATATGGCATATGCAGATTATCATGATCTCATGACCATTACCGAATCAATGATTTCAGGTATGGTAAAGAGCATTCACGGTTCTTACAAGGTATGTATGAATGTCTCATTTCAGTTATTTTAATGGAATTAATAATAACTGTATACAATGCTATTGTCTATAGGTCTTGTGAAAAGTGTTACGTATTTCTGATTATGAAAACCACATTTTTAGCTTTAGCTGTTCAAGATAAATCCCTTTAGAATATAGATTTTATGGTGTAATTATATATAGAGTTGTAATAACTATGTAACTAATATATTTAAAAACCATGTTGATATAAAATTTTAGATCAAATATCACCCAGATGGGCCTGATGGTGAAGAGCTTGAAGTTGACTTTACACCTCCATTTGCTAGGATGCCCATGATTACTACTTTAGAAAAGGTGCTTAATGTCACATTACCCGCAGCAGATAAATTTGATACACCTGAAGCAAACAACTTTTTCAGTCAGTTGTGCGAGAAGCATGAGGTATTTGACTATTTATATATTTTGTAATTTTATTTTCTATAGAAAAACGTATTGACTTATAACTGACATTGTTAAATTATTTAATTTATATTTTCAAGTATTTAATAGTTGAACAATATTTATAACATTAAATACTAATTTTGTCTTGTAAAATTTGTACATATTTTTTTACTTATTAATTTAATAGGTGGAATGTCCTCCACCGAGGACTACATCCAGACTTCTTGACAAACTGGTGGGAGAGTTCCTAGAAGAAAAATGTATTAATCCTACTTTTATTCTGGATCACCCACAAATTATGAGCCCATTGTCTAAATATCATAGAGACAAACCTGGTCTAACTGAAAGGTAAATAGATGCTATAAATAGTATTAACAAAATATCTATAATCCCAATCAGTTATCAGTCATATCAATAACTAATAATGTATTAAACATAAGATAAAAAATATATTTATTATGTGTTTCTTAGTATTGTCATAATAAAAGATTTAAGAAATGAACCAACAATGAATGAAGTTGCATCATCATGTTCTTGACAACCTAGTATTGGTTTAATTTTGTTTAGTATTAAAGGAATGCTAATGCTTTGTCTTACCAAATTGACCAGATAGATTTGTATGGTTTTTTTATCATTTAAGTTATTTTGTTCAGGGTGTCTATAACATTGCATAATCTCAATTGTGTGTTACGAAATAGACACGTATAAAGATGCTTGATATCAAGACTTTTTTTAACATAAACATACTTTTTATGAGATGAAAAATTGAGCCCACCAAGACTTGTTTTTTATATTTTTGTCATCCATATTTTTTCCTCAATCCAGAAAATATGATATTACACAGCAGCTGAAATTTCCTTCCCCTAATGTACATGACGCCTTGAAGGCCATGGGTGGCGCGAATGCACAATAGTCTGTGTTGGTAGCAGTAGTAGAAAACTATGAGCTCCTTACTTTTGACGTTTTATATGGTAAACAATAAGGTAGCTACTTGTCTGTTGTGTCCTAAATTACTACTGATTATCATCAAATTAAAAATCAATCATATTAAACTTAATAAGTACTTATCTCCGAGAAAATAATACAAATTTTAAATGTACATAACAATTATATCAAGGTTTACATTTATAGTGATAAGAAAACATACTTTTAAATTGCAATAACTGAAATACCTACTATGATACCCACAAATGTAATTTACCTACGCAAAGTGTCATGTAACTTTTGTTTTATTCAATAAAAATTATATACTAAGTAACATTTACCTGTAAACCATTATGCGCTTCTTGTAAATGAAGAAATCTAAAGTATAATGAAAACGCTTCTAAATCCGTAGAAAATAACAACGTAGGGCACACTAAATGTCTCGGGATCAAAGACTCAGATAACAATTTGCCCATGGTTGTGTTCATATCTATCGTGACGGTTGAAATTAATTTAAAATTATTAGAAACTAACTATGAGAGAGATGACCTACTTGTAGTATTGTTTTGTTTTTAATAGGGGGCAATAGAGTAATTTCTTATCAACACAATAACAGTGGTCAACGTAGTGGCACTACTGACCACATCTTTTATTCACATGTTATCACAAGGTTCTGAATTTGATCTTGACCGACTGCAAGTAATCTGCGTTTTAATTTTTATATAACTGAGTTACAAGTGGCCACTGATATATATAAAAAGTAAACTAATATATGATCAGTAGTTTGACGAAATGCGAAGTAATGATGTAATTTTCATTTTCTAATCGAATCGGGTTTTAATATTTTTTCAATGGATTATATTGGAATGGCGTATCTGCCTGCACTAACGGTATTCGCTGGCAGGACATCAATATCAGGATGATAAAATGAGCATGAAGCGAAATGAATACAGTTAGCCATCATAGCAAATGGCAATATACCATGATGGTATCCAGGGGAAACCGTATGGGGGTCAACCAGATATGGTATATTGCCAGCAATGAGGTTATAAGTCTACAGAACTAATAATCCCCTTTCCAGAATCAAAGGGTCAATAGGGTTATCCCCGCTACTAAGGTCTAGTCTCTTTTCTAATAGATTTTAATTATGAGATTTTAGTATGTGTTTAGAACATCGTCGTCTAGTAACGACTAAATCCCATATTCCACTAAAGATCGTGGTTAGAAATTAGGCCGACATTATAAAAATATTGACTCAAGTTTTCAACAATTGTTATTTTTGACTGACTTTTCGGTGATGGAAACAGCAATAACAAACTAAACTAATCCATGAGACGACAGTAGATAGCTAGCCCAGTTGAATTTAAATATACGAACCGAAATTTGGGCATGTCGTTTACCACTGTCTCTGACTACCATATCTGAGAAACTATATTCCATCTAATTTTGTGAAATATAAATATTTCAAAATAATACAAATTCATTTCATTAAAGTATATTTTTTTATTTAAAACAGGTTCGAATTGTTTGTAATGAAAAAAGAAATATGCAATGCATACACAGAACTGAATGATCCAGCAACACAAAGGGAACGGTTTGAACAGCAGGCAAAAGACCGCGCCGCTGGGGATGATGAGGCTCCACCTACCGACGAAGGTTTTTGCACTGCTCTTGAATACGGTCTGCCGCCTACTGGAGGTTGGGGTTTAGGTATTGATCGCCTCACGATGTTCCTTACGGATTCCAACAATATCAAGGTTAGTTTTTGACTATATTTACCAAGTTAAACTTTGTAAACTACTTGTACTGTACTTTGATCTTTTATTTGGGTACCATCATCCATTGCATCTGCCAATCAGCTTACTTTGTATACTGTTTGGTTGAAGGGTTAGATAATACAGTGAATTTACAAGATAAGAGCCATGACATCTTAGTAGTCATCCGGGATGGCAATGCATGAGTAGCATCATGGGCGTCACATAATAACTTGATGCCTGTGATGTTATTGATTTATATCATTACCACTTATGATCAGGTGGACTGTCATCTTGTTTAAGAATGTTTTGTGAATGTCCTGGGCCATAAATAACTGATTATCAGCAGGTGTTCAGTTTCTTTGATAAATTGCATGAACAACAGCTACATTGAATTAAAACATACCTTAAGCTTTGCCAGTGAATTCAATGTATTTGATGTAAACCTTTAACCGCCTCAATTGTGTTTTAGGCTTAGGTCATCAACTTTTGACCAAAGCATTATATTTTTTGCAGGAAGTATTGCTATTCCCGGCTATGAAACCAGATGACCCTAATAAACATAACACTGAAGATGAAAATTCCACTCCGACTACTATACAGAATGGTGTTTAAAAATAAATACACTAGTGAATAGTGGGCAATGTTTGCATTATTTATTCTTTTTTACTATAATTACTTTGTACTTTAAATTATTACTAAATAAGTTATAACTTACTATGTTTGTAATGCTATAGGATTACAAACACATTTGTATTGATACTTTTAAGTTAAATATTTGAGTTTGTATTAAGTATTTTCTATTTTTGCTCGAATTAACCTAGCTATTTCTGTTATGGCCAGATTATAGAATTACTTATAATAATTATTTGTTTCAATTTGCTTTTTGACATTAGTTCTATAATATGTGATGTAGCATACTTTTAATAAGTAGGTATCTTCATTCATTTGATAAATGCAGATACCTACTTATTAAAAAGTTTATGTATTCATAATTTATCCAATAAATGGGTTATTGGATAAATTATGAATGTATATATTACAACTTGTTAGCAAATATTTTACTATTACTGATACTACTTATTGTGAATAATGAAAATATAGTAACAAAACCCTGCAATTTTCCACAAATTACCCACATGACAATTCCATAGATCATTGAAGTGCGAGGTTTCATTTTTAATACCTTAATACCTCTATTCTTTGACTTTGCCAAGTCATTTACCATCATATCATAATATTGTTGCTTTGATATAGGTACTCAATTCTATAATCTGATCATGAATTACATATATTTTAAAATAACATTAAATTGCAGTAATGTTATATAATATTTGAAGTAATTCCATCAAGTATATTCTACATTAACATTTATCACTGTGCCTACTATTTACAATTTCATGTTTTGGATTTTCTGACAATAAAGTTAATAAATAACCATATTTCACATTTTAAATACTTTTATCCCCTCTATACATAGTCTTTAAAAATTATGTATAACTTTTATGGTCACCATTATTTCATTTATTATTATGTTATGGAGACTAAAAAAAAGTACTATACAGTATTATGTTACTGATATGACATTTATTATATAATAATAATAAATATAAGAATATATACATAGGCATATTAATTACTTCTATCTTCAACATCTGAATCATCATCAACACAAGTTGAATTGTAATGTTCTCCTAAACTATACATATGTCTATGGTAAGCAATTATTAATGGATCATCACCAAATTCAGTTCCTTGCTCAATACTATCAGGACCTGTAGCTTGTATTACACTAATGGGACATTTTAATGAGCTGGATAAAGCTCTTATTTCTAACTGTCCACCCCATGTCTTAGTATTCAATATTTTATCACAATACTCATTTAATTCTTCATTAGTAAGCATTTCACAGGTCTCAGGGTTACTCATGAATGGTAGAAAATCATCTTTATTATTACTGATGTAAGTAGAAACCTTTCTTCTCAATTCATCAACAGAAATGGAACATTGCTTCTTTATTGTCAATTGATGAGCCACAGCTTTATATAAACAGTCCCCATCAGATGGTATAGGAAAAATTTTAAGATTTCTCTTTTTCAATTTCGCCGTTATTGCCTGAATTTCTGTATTTCTAGGGCCATGCAGGTTTTCTTTCTCTTGTTGTTTTATTTGTTCCTCTCTCTCTCTTTCCTGTTGTATTTTCTTATCTCTACGCTTTTGAGCTTTTGATATTTTGTTTTTGCTAATATCCTTTTCGTTATTCTCTTCAATTTGTTCTGAAATATCACTAGAAATACTCTGTCCACTTCTAAAGTTTTCAATTTCATGCTTATGACGAATATCTTGTTCAGTCTCCAAACGGGCTATTTCTGCTGTTAATTCCTTTTTCTTTGTTTTGTCATTTTTAGCTGCTTTTTTTAAAGCCTGAATTTGAGCTTGAAGTTCCTTTTTTTCCTTTCTATGTTTATTTTCTAAAGATAACCTATCTAATCCATTATTGTCTTCAGTTAACATATTAAGCAAATATGTACTTTGGATACAATGATATGTGCTATAGATCGGTATGTGTTATTTTGTATGAATTTACTTATATACCGTTGTGATTGTTGTAATTGAAATGTTTAAATAAAACAACTTCCGACGATACTATTGATAATTAATGAACAACTTTGAATGAGTGAAATATGACAGCAACAAAATTTAATTAAGTAGTCTGTGGTACTGGGTAAGTTGATGAAGACGACTCGACATTTGAGTTGAGGCTTCGAAAATAAAATTATATTATACTTTCTGCTTTTTATTTCTGAAACTTTTTCAAATAAAGAACAAACTGTTTAAAATAGCATGAATGTGCGTTTCGTAGTAAATGCGCACTTGCTTATGTTTTTCTATATTGAATTTTCAGTTTCTTATCTATGCTCTGATGTAATATTTACTCTGTGTTAAAGTTTCTGTAACTGTCTGATTCTGTGCAAATAACACAATCGTTTTGAAGCGATATATTGTAAAAAGTATTAATTTAATTCACACATAATAGTTTTACAATTTTTATTTGTTTCATTCCTCTAGTATTAAATGTTCTTATAATTCGAAAAACCTATATAAAATAATGAATCCGTGTTCTATTCCTGCACCACAGCAAGACTCTGAGGGTGACGGCCGATGGAATAGCATTGTAAGTAGTCGGAGAATTGAATATATAATTGATTTCGTGTTCGTGAAACGTTGTCGTTAAAATAACTCTAAATATTTATTTATATGCTATATCTCGTGTATAACATGTAGGTATATTTACCGTCTTTCAAAGATTATACCAATTATTTTTGTACCGGTAGATATGTAGTTATAAAGGTGAACATATTAATTTCACATTTTATATTTGCAGCATAATAGGTTCCTATCGGATGCCAAAGGAAAAGATGCAGATGTAATATTTATTGGAGATTCCATATTACAAGCCTTAGAGCATACAGAAGTCTGGAATCAGTGGTTTGCTCCACTTCACTGCCTTAATTTTAGTATTCACAAGGATCAAACTCAAAATATTCTATGGCGTATAAAAAATGGAGAACTCGATCATGTAGATCCCAAAGTGAGTACATTTTAAGTGGGTTTATATACAATAATGTATGAGGTGTGTTGTCCACTTTAAAGCAAACCTATCACTATTGTATTTTTAATCATGTTGGTAAAAATATTAACATGAAAAATTAACAATTGACAATAGGGGTGTGGATATCTCTGTATAACACTGCTCATATGCTCACTTGTTTCATATTGGCTTGAAAATTATAGTAATACAACTCTCCTTTTTATTGTTTATATATTATTCACTGTTATGACAATAAAGGAGTGGTTGTTGAGGTGCGTCTTGGTTGTCAGGTCATTTTGCATTGTGTCCTTGTTTATTTTTACAAGGTACCTTAAAAATTTTGACTGACAAATTATATTGCTCTTTATATTGTAGGTCATAGTGGTGCATGCAGGAACGAACAATGTTGACTTTACAGCAGAGCAAGTGTGTGAAGGTATCTTAGAAATAATAACAACTATAAGGGAGAAACACCCAAGTGCTTATATAGTATTACCTGTAAGTATACCCTACTCTATGTAAAAAAATTATGTGTATTATTTTTTAACATTAAAATATTTTCTATTTTTATTAAGCTTAAATGTTATACATATATTTTTTATTTCAGAGTCTTCTTCCCAGAGGGCAGTATCCAAATGCTTTAAGGGAAAAAAATTCAAAAATTAATCACTTACTACGTGAGAAAGTTTTAAATATGAATAAAGTTGATATGGTATCAATAGACAAAGGTTTCATACAAACTGATGGTACAATTAGTCATCATGACATGCATGACTACCTAACACCAACTAATGCAGCATGCCGCAAGGCATTTGAACCAATATATGATCTCCTCCAGCAATTATTGTCCGAAGGTGAACCCGAAAAAGATTTAACACCCTCTGAATAATTTATAAACCATGTATTCACTATGGTAGCTTTTTATTATTGCAGCAAACTGATTGTGATTATACAGTACTTACAGATAGCTTTTTTATCATAGTTTTAAGTATGCATTTAGAATATATTTTATCTTATGAACTATACATTCCAAATTAGACTTCTTTTTTAAATTGGCTGTGTTTATACAACTTAGTTCAACTTATTATTTCAGAATTAATATTAAAATGGTATTTTTTAATATTAGCCCTTATTTCCTTACACCACATACTATATTAGACAAGTTAAAACACTGATATGTAATGATAGTGATATTTAACTATGATGGTGTTAGAATATAAGGACGAACATATCAATAATTCACAGGGTTTAATACTTATATGGTAATTTCTGTTTGCTTGTTCTTAATTTATTTTTAATTAGCTACCAGATCATTAGCAGAAAAGTGTAGCAAACTATCACAGTAATATATTTATCAGATTATTTTTATTTAATTAATATTATTTCAATTATTCTTGCAAGAATATAATTAAGATTATGTTTCTGTTTTGAAATATTATCAAGATCAATGTAAAAAATTATATTTTTCTCATTTGAAAAATATTTCATTATTGTTAATTAAATTTAACTCAAGTGACTGTCCATTTCAGCTCTCAATTTGGATATTTGTCAGAAAATTATGATATCTGTTATTATTTTATATAATCAATTAGCCACAGAAGTTATTTCCAACGCCTACCAAAGAATTTCGATTCTATGTAACCAAAGCAAAAAATAAAAATATTTGATATCAGTATGTAATATTTATTCAATTAAGTATATTTTTGATACAGAACTGAATTATAATAAAATTAAAGATGTGTTATTTAAGAGAAACAGGTTAAATTTAATGGTAGTGTGATAAAGTACATTTTCTCTAAGTACATACACTATTTGTCATTATTGAAACCACATAATGTATACAATAGTTTAGGTTTTGAGTGAATTTATAACTTCCCCTTATTTGTAGCTAGCTATTTAAGGTACTATTAGGTACTCAGGTTGCCAAAACATATTGCTTGAATCTCAATTTGTTATAAGTATTTATTTGCATGAAGAAAGCTTGAAAGTAAATGGTGCAATTGTTTCTATAAAGAATGTTTTATTCCATTACCTTTATGTTAAGTCAGTGATAGTGGAAAGAGTAATGTAGACTTTTTTTGCCTTGTGTGTATAAATTGGAATTTGGCTGGATGAGACACTATTTTGACTGGGTTAACTTATTTACCACTTCATATGTTTTTGGACGCGTCAGGTGTGTTTTTATATCTACGATCAGAGATATTCAACATTTGTTATACACACATATATGTTTTTTATTCTTCAAACAGATTCAGAAAGCTACTAGAAATAATTTTAGATAAGTCAAAAATAATGTATTCATATATATATATAGAGTAATTTTCCACACTGAATAGATATACATTTTGTAGCATACCTTTATTGCTTAAACTTCATATTTGTAACTTCAATAATTTAGACAGAGTATTACAATTATACTAATAGTTGATTTACATAGCTGTAGGCTTTACAGTTTGAAGACTAGACTAGGACTAGCAGAATGGCGCTATTTACCTTTTATTATAATTCCTCTTTCCATTGAGCAATATACAATTAAAATAAAATTAGGTAAGAATTTTATTTTTTAATAATTTATTTATTATCTTTAGTAAATACTTTTTTATCACTTGAAACTGAACATTAGTCAATACTTATTCATTAATCTGTTGAAATAAAGACTAAATGGCAAAGTAGTATTTCCTAACGTTAATGATTTGTCAAATATATTAAAATTACACTTTTCTAGTTTCGTAAGGTAAGCATTCACAGATATTGCGGGTAAAAATATTTGGTTAGCAGTTTTTGGCACTGTTATACTTCTAGCCTGAAAAAATGAAAGAAAAAGTAAATAATCTAATATACTTCTAAAATAATTAAAACATTGATAAAGAAAATACATACCTTCTGTAAATGGGTGTTTGCTCTGCTTGCAATATCAAAGCTAGCACTTCTCATATTTTCACTATCAATACCTCTTAATACGGTTTCTTGACTGATACCATAGTTCATGAGTATATCCATGGGTAATGATACCATTTTGTGATGGTTTGAAACCAATATTGATCTGTGAGAAAACACAGTATTTTTAAATAAGCATTGGCCATTAATTTTATTCCAATTATGTAAAGGTGTTGATAATATTACCTTAATATGTTGGCAAGTCCTTGTGCTTTGCCTAGATGTGATGCAGCATGGTCTGCATGAACATTCTGAACTCCAGCTACACTTAATATTAGATAGTATATTGAAGAAACAGTGTCTTCTGAATACTTTTCCACATCTTCTAAGTTGCGGAAGTATTTAGACTTTAGTATGTTACTTCTTGATGCTATGAGTTTTTCCAAATAGCGTCTAGGTAAATTGTAAAAGCGGCATACCTTGAAAAAGAACTTATTATGTTACAGGTATATTTATTAAGGCTACTGTTTTCGCCAATGTTTTTGTACTACAAGAAATGCTAAATAAGTTGGCAGGACCATCCATTGAGGATCCAAGGAAATTGTCTCAGTTTTGTAACATTACATGGATTGTAGTTATAGGTGATTTAGAAGATGAACAGTTTTAAATTATGTACCTAGCTACCTTTATTACTCATATATCTTTATTTGATGTACACAGAGTAGCCAAATAGTAAATACTAGAATACAGACAAAGCTAATTAATGTTTTCTTTACATATATTTATTACATTGAGAATATATTCCTCTTTGTTTAAAGCAGTTTGCATAAAAATTCAATTTTCTGTTATTATTCCTAATTGCAAAAGTTGTCTTATTTATATAGATACTTACTTTAAATAATTCTTGTGCTATGGGGTTGGCCGGTATGTTTTGTAGTTTTTGATCTTTTTTATACACATGCTTAAGTGTATCTTGCCAAAACTGCAATCTGAATGCTGCAGTTTGAGCGTCGGTAGTTTGATCCTGTATACGAGCCACTTCTACATTAAAAGCTCTGATCACAAGTGTTGGTGACCTTATAGCTTTTGTCATAAGCAAAGTTGCCAAAAAGTTTTCATAATCATGCTGCCTATCTGTAAAATAAATTACAAAGTACCAGAAAATTATACAATAACCTATTGAATATGAGATACACAAATTAATTTCCGTCAGTAGTTTTAATTTCTGTGTATTCTAATTATAAGCACTTACTTTACAATATTTGCACAGTAATTAACGGCATCACTAGAGACCACAGTAGTTGAATGTAATCTTGCATTATGTTTATAAATTCTGGAATAGTTATTTATATATTTAAAGAGATTGTTTATTTTAATTTTATTCATTTTCACACTCCTGATTTAGGGTTATATCATATACTATATACAGAAGAACTTGACTGAAGTAGAAGACAGGACAGAGACTTGTAAATTTTCTATTGTACTTTTACTAATTTATTTCATAGTGAAGAATAAATAAACATGAAAATATGTATTTCAATTAGGAAAGTAAATTTAATTTTTTAGCTTTATAGACAGGACAGGACAAGTTTGACATTGACAGTATAGTATCGAGTAATGTCGAGTGAATATGTCACGCCAGTATATAGTATGTATTATTAATGGTGTACTTTTAATTTTTTTCATCGTTGCGCTTTTGTTGCTTTAAGTAAAAAGCAGTTTGTTAAATATAACTTTCGTTTCACTCTCAAGTTAAGTTATTGACTCTTCGTTATCGCGAGCGTAAGATTTATATTGTCATTGGCAATTTAAATTATACATATCGACAGTTAGCTCATCATAACCAATTATCAGGTTCCTTTTGATAGTTATGAGTTGATTTCCAGGATTCTTACGTGGACGTTTTTTGGATGGATGATGATGGAATGTTACAACTGCCTGTGCTTGCGGTATACGTTAGCGGACATGAGTGGACAATGATAAAATGAGCATCATCTATCTTTAGTCAAGAATTAATGTGGAAATCTACCTGACATACTATATTGCTAGCAATGGGTAAGTCAGGTAGACCTCCCATTATTAAAAATGTTTCTAACTCATTGGTAGGATTTATTGCTTATTTTTTAATTATAACATCATTAAAGTATAACCAGCTTACTTTAATGATGTTATAATTAAAAAATCTTTATATTTTTTAAATTAGATATATTTTGATTTTGTAAGCAATCAATGCTGATTAAAATCAATGCTAGTTATACAACAATTATCTACAATTTGATAAATTTACTTTATGTAAAGAGTAGTAATTGTGTTATGGCGTGTACATGATGAGATTTTTAGATGATGAGTGATTTTTTTTGTCGATCATTATTTGCTTAAACTTTCTTTACTTCTGTAAAAAAAAAGCGAGCTTTGGCGAAAAAATCTATTAAATATTGATTAATTTATTAAGTACGTAGTAAATACTTATTAGTAACTAGCCCACCTCACGACTTCGTCCGCGTGGAATTTAACTTTATTTTTTTTAATAAAATATTTTTCTAAAATAAAAGTATTCTAAGTTTCTCCTTATTACATCAGCTATCTGCCAATAAAAGTCTCGTCAAAATCGGTACAGCCATTACAGAGATTAGCCGGAACAAACAGATAGACAGACAAAAATTGTAAAAAATATTATTTTGGTGTATGTACCTACCGTATTTATATTCGTATGCATGTAGTAAAAACGATTATTTTAATATTACAAACAGACACTGCAATTTATGTTTATAAAGATAAATTTACTTCGATATATTTTCTAAATAATCTTATACGCAAGATACTACGAGTATCTCGTAGATCCATGTGCATACATACACATATCGCACATCCCGTGTAAAAAGGCCGCAACTACACTTGCGTCAAAAATGTTTTATTACATAGATAAAGCGAGCTTCACGGCTTACACCTTCTGTCAAAATCTCATGAAGCTATCGACAAAAATGAAGGAATAAATGCAAAAATACTAAAATTTTGCGACTTTAGAAAACATAAAAGTCCAGCATAAAATAGAGGTATGCATATTTGCATTTATTCGCTTTACAATTATCCCGTTCATAAAGTCATAATTGTATTTACGTAAATTTTAAAAGAAGATTTAAAAAAAAATGTTTAACGCAAATATACTTAAATACTTGTTCCTATATCTTACAATCTAGGACTATTGTGTAATTCTAATTACTTACTTCTTCTACGAAACTTTTAGCTGATAGTTTATGTGTGATTATTGTTACATACTTTTCCCCCAGCAAAACTTCACAATGCGTAAAGTGTAGTTGTAGTTACTTCTTTATTACACGTAACATTTCATACCTGATGTTGGGTAATTTTAAATACAGCATGTATTTACAAGAAAAAAAAATAAGAATATGTTCATGTAATTAAAATTAAGTAAAAAAATAAACTATTTTTAGCTAATTGTATAAGCTGACGGGCACCAATGATGGATGATAGGAGGAGCAGGAGATCAGATGAATTTGCCAGGAATAGTAATAATAAATGATAGAAAAATCGATCTGCTTTTAGACATTTATCATAGAAGAGCGAATTGATAGAAGTGTATATAAAAACAATAGATAAAAAGAATACTTCTACTTTAAATATGGATAAACGAATATACAATTGCCAGTGAATCTTATTGTAGGTCTAACAGGAATTAACTAACGATGGTTTCCAGGATGGACCGCGTGGAACTAAATGTACCTTATATTGCTAGCAATAATATTCAATATTAATTCCCACTGGTCATAATAGGTACACATACAATACTAGCTGGTCCCGCAAACGTTACTTTGTTATAAATTACTAGCTGTGCTCGCGTTAAATTTCAATAAAAAATATATTCTGTGTTATTCAGATGCATAAGCTATATTAGTGTAAAGTTTCGTAAAAATCTATTCAGTAGTTTTTGCGTGAAAGAGCAACAAAGATCCATACTTACAAACTTTCACGTTTAGAATATTATATTAAGATTAAGATTTCTGAAAACTATTAAAGTACTAATCATCATAATTTCAACTTGTGTCTATCCACAGTTGGATATAGGCCTGTCCCAATTTGGCTTTGGTGGCCTAGCGGTTAAGCACACCGATTTACTTCCCATGGCCGCGGGTTCGATTCCTCGGACGGTGCAGATATTTGTATTCATGAGTAAGATTGTCGATAACATACTAATAGACCAATCAAAATAAGAAGTAAACCAAAAATGTCATTGATCAAATTAATATGTTTCCACATAAAGAATCGCATTATCTCCGCAATCTAACAATGATAAATTCTAGATGAAAAGCATAATTGCGCTAAAATGCATCGTTTATACTTATGAAAAACCCAAACTAATAACTACCCATTTTCATAAACCCAAATTATGAAAATGTTACTCCAGCCTCTCAGAGATGGTACTATAATATTAGGTCCTTACATATGAAATTGGTGTTTTGTCGTACTGGCCACTTTGATCTCAAATATCTCCTCTTTCGCCAGGAATTCAAAGTTCAAATTTGTACAGTTATTTACTCATGCATTTGTTTTTCGAAAACCGTAATCCATATGGTTTTTCCATCTTTGGTTTTTTCTTTACGTCACTGAGTTTACAAAATGGAAAACATAAAATATCACGTTTTTTAAGAGTACGAATTCCGTCGTGGCACCACTGTGCAGAAACGACTCGAAGAATTAATGATGTGTATGGCGATGGTGTCGCAAAAGAAAACACAGTGCGTTTTTGGTTCCAATGTTTTCGTTCTGGAAATTTCGATCTGCAAAACAAGCCCCGTGAGCAGCCAGAGTCCAAGGTTGATAATGAAGAATTAAAGGCTAATGTGGAAGCGGATCCATCGCTAACCACGTCCGAGTTAACTGCAGGCTGCAGTGTTAGTAACAAAACTGTTTTAATCCACTTGAAGCAAATTGGGAAGGTGAAAAAAGCTTGAAAAGATCATGAATTGAATGGAGCAAATCGACAAACGCGCGTAGCCTGCTCGTTATTAGCCAACCGGCATAATAATGAAGGGATTTTAAATCGGATCATTACATGTTACTGGATCTTGTACGATAATCGGAAACACTCATCGCAATGGCTGAATCCTAGCAAACTAACCAAATCCTGCCCCAAGCGAAAATTCAAACTCAAAAAAAGTTACTTGTGAGCACTTAGTGGACTAGTGCCTGTGTTGTTTACTTCAGCTTTCTTATATCTGGCCAGAATATTACGGCAGATGTGTAATGTCAGCAATTACAAACCATGACGGAAAAGCTAGCTGCTAAACAACCGAGACTGGTCAATCACCGTAGGCCACTGCTGCTTCAGGACAACGTTACGAAATTAGAAGAGCTTCAAATGTCCAATATATCCACCGTACTTCCCGGATCTTGCTTTCTTTCAAAATTTGGATAACTTCTTGCAAGGGAAAAAATTCAAATCCAATTTATCGATACCCGTCCTAATGGTTTATTAGTAAAGGGATCAATAAAACTATAGGTAGTTGCGAAAGTGCATGAATAGCAATGGACCATATTTTGATTAAATAAATGTATTATATTTTGAAAAATCAACTGAAATTGGCGTTTTGTAAGGGAGTAATTAGGTTACTCCCTTACAAATTTCATATGTTAGGACCTAATATATTTACTACACGAGTTGGAGTAAAATTAAAGAGATTTCGGCAGATCCTCAATGTCCGGGGAAATTCCAAATAAAATACGCATTCGCTGATGAGACACCAAATAATAGACAAATAGAAGGGGAAGAGTTATGAGAAAAAAAGAGCTGCACATAGCGAGCCTTCTGAATCAAGCATTAGTATGATGCACCGCTAGCGATACCTAAAATATATACAAAGACTTGATGAATCTATATAAAGATAAAAACATACCACCACACTATCAGACGTTTTATAAGAACTTAAGTACTAAATCTAAGACTAAACTAAACTAAACCACAGAGTCCGATTCCAAAGTTGAGGATAATGAACATTAATAAAAATAATAAAAATATCACTATTTTGAACATTTTTTGATTAAGTTGATTATGGAGGCAATAAACATTTCTTTAAAAATAATAATAAATTAATAATAACCCTGTTTGTTTTCATATTCTCTAAATTAATTTGCCCCTATATTTATACTTTGGACTTACATGCACGCACATAATAGACTATTTACTGTAAGAAGTAGGTATTACATGATACAAATTAAATATTCAGTTACTTTCCGCATTATAAAAGCTATTTTTATAAATACACTAACTAAACTAAAATAAATGGCTCCCTAGAAATACGTAACTCGATGTACAAAAAATGATATTTCGTTAAATAACAACGTAATTATACTTGCAATTCTAGATTTTAATGAAATATAGGAGAGTATAAAGGCGTAAGTAGAGTTAAATTTGTTCATATATTTAAAAATACATAACAATAAAGCAATAATTGTAGTTACCCCTGCAAATGTTCTTTGTGTTTCGTGGAATACAGAAGTAACCGTGTTTTTTTAGATTATCTGGAAGTACATGAAGCTGTTCCTAAATTAAATGACACATGTAGTTGAAGGCAACTGTGACCTACGATTTTCTCTTTGAAACTTATTTCTAGAACTCATACAAAAAATATAGGACAGTTTTTTTAAGCTCCTGAAAAGTTGGTGAAAATCACTTACTTCCTTTTTCCACGAATGGTGCGATATGATGTTATTTATAAGTTTTTGAAATCTCAACTACGACATCGTTACGATGTTTGGAATAGACATATGTAGGTATATTTGTCAACGTAGTATATAATAAGTGCGGATATAAACAAAACCCTACGCGTAAATAATAACAAGAATGTAATATGCAAATAATGTGCAAAAGGTACAATAACATGTTGTTTTTGCTCAGGGTTTGTTATTTATTATTATTGTGATATATTTGTACTACATAGATTAATTACGTTTAGTCCGGATTAATAAGTAGGAGTGAATTAATGAACAATATAATTACTACCATATATATCAGTACCATAGACCACATTCATACGCTGCGGCAGGTAATTTAGAATACCGAAGAATACAACCTGCCACTTTGCTTGGCGTTTGTGGACCATGAAAAATCCTTTGATTCGATCGAGACGTGGGCTGTGCTACAGTCTCTCCAGCGGTGCCAAATTGACTATCGATATATCGAAGCGTTGAAATGTTTGTATGAAAACGCCACTATGTCAGTTCGCCTCCACGACCAGAATTCGAAGCCTATTCAACTGCAGCGAGGTGTCAGACAAGGCGATGTCATATCGCCAAAGCTGTTTACCGCTGCGTTGGAAGATGTCTTCAAGCTTCTGGACTGGAGCGGGCTGGGCATCAACATTAACGGCGAGTACATCAATCACCTTCGATTTGCCGACGATATCGTGGTCATGGCTGAGACCCTGGAAGACCTTAGCAAAATGCTCGAAGACCTCAGTAGAGTCTCACAAGGAGTAGGTCTTAAAATGAACATGGACAAGACGAAAATTATGTCAAACGTCCATGTCGTACCTGCCTCTTATCTTTTCGTCCAAATTTCCGCAGTGTCTCAAGACGAAGGTTTACCAATGTGTGTTGCCAGTGATGACTTACGGAACAGAGACGTGGTCGCTAACTATGGGCCCCATCAACAAGCTCAGAGTCACTCAGAGGGCAATGGAGAGGGCTATGCTCGGAGTTTCTCTGCGTGATCGAATCAGAAATGAGGAGATCCGCAGAAGAACCAGAGTGACCGACATAGCCCGAAGAATTGCGACTTTGAAGTGGCAATGGGCAGGGCACATAGCTCGTAGGACAGATGGCCGTTGGGGCAGTAAAGTCCTCGAGTGGCGACCACGGACCGGAAGACGCAGCGTGGGAAGGCCTCCAGCAAGGTGGACCGACGATCTGGTCAAGATCGCGGGAAGGCATTGGATGCGAGCAGCGCAGGACCGATCGTCGTGGAGATCTTTGGGGAGGCCTATGTCCAGCAGTGGACGTCTTCCGGGCTGCGATGATGATGATGCTGATGATAATTACTAGTAGATGTTTTTAACTATTTATATTTTAAATGGAGTAGGTAGGTAGTCGAAAACAGTTAGTGAAAAAATAACTTTCACTAACTGTCTTCACGACAACCATCCTGTATTCACCTTCCTGTACCTATCTAATACAAAATTAATGCCTCATTATGCTAACGCGATCTTATATCTCCGGCAATGGTACCTCGGGATAACTCAAAAATTATCAAACTAGGTATAAAACCCTAATTTTGTCTACACTTAAAAAAAAGATGGAAATCGCATACCTACTAAAGAAGACTGCTAGGCCTAGGCCTTACTTCTTTTACCTAACTACATGTCATAGCAATCTGTTTTGTCTCGGTTTCGTTAGAAAACCAACCATTGGTGAACTAGCTGCAATGGGTAAGCGACCTAATTTCATTCTCATGCTATAGTTTATCTCTGGTACCTGCATAGTTACCATCAACATGGGCGGGATTAGGTACTTACTATTCTATTATTATCCTCTTAAAGAAGAGAACTCTATCATTAAAAACCAAATAATAGATACCAAAGAGATAAGCAGAGAAACAAATATTTGCCGCTTATCTCTTTTAAACCAGTCTACGATTTTCCTTACATTTTCGAGTTTTTTTTGTTACTACCTTCAGTGTGGTTAGGTACACCCGTCTGTAACCGATGTGGATAATACCTGAACCTAACTGAATAAGTACATAACTACACCTTTAATAGGCGATCATATTCTTAAGGGTTTTTTCCAGGTACGCTTTTTATTAGATATGAGCAAGAGAACATTTGTAGTAAAATATGCCTTGTGTAGTTACAAACTTTTAGATTTTTCCGATACAATATACCTATTTCTAATTAGTTTGCTCTGCTTAGTTAATTTTGTACAGAAAGACCTTGTGGAGCTCGACCCATCTAGAGCAGCAGAGGTTATAAATTGATTCGCATTGTTAAACGATGGCATTTCTTATTTTCATTGATATTGTAGTCACATTATGTTGCCACAAACAATAGACAGACCATGGGTAGTTCGCGCTTCGACAATGGCGAGAAACACGTGTAATCTGATTAGAAATATTGTTGAAAATATACAAGTGGCCCCTAATCCTAATAAGAAATTCATATCTCTCTCTCTTGGTAAGTAATAAAAATTGTGAGTATTAATATGTTACTATACACTTCAGTACTCTGTCATAATAAACTTTTATTCTTAATTAGTTATAGGTATATTGTTAGCTTTCTCGTTCGTTAATAACGTTATTGTGACAAAGTATTAAAAAATGAAATATCACCTGTTGACGTTGAGTGGGACGACCAGTGTACACTATACCTACATGCTTATGTACTTTCGCACATTGGACACGCAACTACCACTGTCTCTTAGAATAATTTGTCTTATTATCGATGTTTCCATCGCAATATTTGACAATATAAAGTCATTTACTGATTACTTACGTTACATTCCATTTGTTTGATATAAAAACTTGATTGAGTCCATAATTTTAACTATTTTCATGTGTGATTATTATTTTAGGTGATCCCACAGCCTTTGGAAATCTCACACCGCCAGACGAGTTGCTACAAGCAGTTCGTGATAGCATAGATCTGAATGAAAGCAGATGCTATGGCCCTACGAACGGTGACTTTATTGCGAGGCAAGCTGTGGCCGAGTATTACGCGCACCATGGGAAGATTTCACCTGATGATGTTATTCTGTGCAGCGGATGCGCACACGCATTGGATCTGGCTATAACCGTGCTTGCTGAACCAGGGCAAAATATTCTTGTGCCGAGGCCTGGATATATGTTGTATCAAACTATAGCAGAAGGATTGGGTATTGTAATCAAATACTACAATCTTTTGGTAAGTTACATAATTTACTAAATGGACACTGTTACTACTGTTATACCGTGACTATGTTATTTATTAGATTCTTACGCTGTTACGTTACAACAATTCTAGTTTCATATACCATAGAGTTTTATAGACTCATGATCAATATGATGTAATAGCGTCCAAATATCGTGTGCTCAAAAATAGCATAATCACGGTAAATATATTTTTTATATTACTAAACTATAAAATTTATTATTTAGGTGGTAGGCACATATAGGTACCACCTAGGTACCCATTTCAAATTTCATGTAATCGCATTTTAACTGGTTTCTATTGTGACAATCGAGTTCGAAATGCATATTTATTTCTTGACGTTGATGTGGCGTGGATGATTATAATGACTAAATTGTGATAACTACCTACTTGTACCTACTCGAATCAACTTATTTCTTTTCTGCGGTTATAATGAGCTACCTAATTGGCATCTGCTGCATTTTCTGGCTTTGAACTTTGCATGAATAATGAAATGATATCCATAAATTAATAATTAGAATAATAACTTACAGTGTCTTGATGATAATTTATCAATTACCTATACTGCGAATTGCAGACAATACGGATAATTAGAAATTTGTACCTTCGAAGTAAATATCTACAATTATAGCATCACACCCATATGTACACTCTGCTTCATAAATATATTTGTATATTGTTTTGCTCAAGAATTGCTAGGAGAATTTTTAGTTCTTATTGTTGTTTATTGCGGATGCAGACATTGAATACGTAAATTAATTTCATACTTATGAAAATTCTATGTTAGTGAATTCCTACATTTTAACTTCGATATTTTAAGTTTATTGATCTAGTTTAATTTTAGCTGTGTTACATACCAATTAGTCCTTTAGAAATATATATATGTTAAATTTTTGGTTTAGGTACGAAAATTTCGTATCCGTTTTCATACAATATGCAAATATTTTTTATGATTATTAGTAGAAACAGGTCTCTAAATAAACTAAACTACCTAGTTCTAAAGTTAAACATAGGACATATCTTACATAAGTATTTATTTGGTTTTAGCCTGATCAAAATTGGGAAGTTGATTTAAAGAATTTAGAGGACCAAATTGATGACAAGACTGCTGCGTTAATTCTCTTGAATCCTTCGAATCCTTGTGGTTCTGTATATACAGAGGAACACTTGACAGATATATTACGCGTATCACTCAAACATCGTCTACCTATTATAGCTGATGAAATTTATGAACACTTTGTTATATTTGAAAACAAGTTCACTTCAGTAGCGGCGCTCTCCAAAGATGTGCCAATACTTGTTTGCAGTGGTCTAACCAAGCGGTTCTTAGTTCCTGGATGGCGAATGGGTTGGTTAGTTATTCATGATAGACAAGGCACATTTAATGTAGAGATTCGTAAAGGCTTAAGGAATTTGGCCGGCAGATTGTTAGGACCTAATAAATTAATGCAATGTGCTTTACCGAAAATATTGACATCGGTACCGAAAAGCTTTTTCCGAGGCATGATGTCATTCATTGAGGTGAGTAAAATAATAAATTAATAATTAATGTCTCATTGAGTTACAGAGGTATTCTATATAAAAAATAAACAGCGTGAGTACCTGCTTCTAAATACATTTCTCATACTTCAGACGCTATACAGCTTTAAACAGCGTGTTTCGGTTGAAATGTGAAATAGAGCAGTGATATAATATACCTACCCACGTAATGTTATTAGGTAGATATATGCGCACATATTCCCAGGTTCCTTCTATTTAAACCCAAAATGTAGAGTGCTAATTGCAAACTTTCGAATGGATTTGGTTTGTTTGTTTTCAACATCAGGAAATCAGTCTGAATTATAAATAGGTACAGCGTTTCTTTTGTTTCGGCGGATTCCAACTCCATAACTTAGGACAAGACAAAGAAATTTTTTAAACGCTTTACGCTTTTAAAAACTATACCACGATACTCCTAGTGAAACCAGCTATAATAATATTTAAAATAATGCACAATTAGATATTTAATCTCTTAATGTCAGTCCATTATTTTGTGCCTTTTATAGAATCAAGCGATATTGGCTTGCGAAGAGTTAGAACGCGCGCCTGGTCTAAGGCCAATGTTACCACAAGGAGCGATGTACATGATGATAGAAATAAAAATGTCGATGTTTCCAGCTTTTCGAAATGAGTTGGAATTTATTGAGCGCATGTATAGCGAGCAATCCGTACTGTGTATACCTGGCCAAGTATGTATAGTATTTTTTATGTAGAGGTATCTTTGGTTTTTACCATTAGGTAAAGCTTCACTACAATTTTTTTTTACCATATGTCTGTACTAACTCTGTTGGTAAAAGAATATGAAGGTTTGCGACACCGGGGAAGTAAGAGGGGGCAAAACACTCAATGTTTAAATAATTACACTTTTTTAACAAAACCACAGTTAACATAATATTACATAACAAAACTTTGAATTTTTAATGATTTTCATTGGTTCCTTTTGCTAACGAGGTTTTGTTTGTTCTGTACAAGACGTGAGTGCTAAATATTTTTCTCTTTATACGTATGTAGTGGATCAAAATATACCAACTACCTACTAACATTTTATTTGTGTTTTCAGTGCTTCCAATTTCCAAATTACATGCGGATTGTACTCACAGTGCCTGAACATATATTACGCGAAGCCTGTATGAGGATACAAACTTTCTGTCGCGATTACATAATGAAGGAAAACCATATTAACTAATTTAGTAACTACATGTAAGCGAAAATAATTTATTTTTTTATTTACTATTAAATAAATGTTATCTATGCAGTGTTTATGTAACATAGTAAAATGCAATAAAAAATATATACATTTTTTTCATTTTCAACCGGCAATCAAAATGAGAGATCCTAAATTTGACCGTATCTTTATGGTGTATTACCCGATATCTTTGGCAAAGTTGAATAAGGTTCGATGATTATTTCTATTTATAGTGATGATTGTAACTTTTATCTACCTATATATCTAGCAATATTCCTTCTTATAATGAAATTTCATTTTTACTTATTAGGAATATTTCTTAAAATTCCATGTAATTATTGTCTGTATCATAGATAGGCGTAGTTTATAATGAAATCACACATTATACCTACCTGTTATATTATTTATGTACTACTACCTTGTTTTTACCTTGAAGCAGCATTGTGTTCTTGATTTCAATGTGAAGGGTAAAAAAGACACAGATACAGAGACCTGAGGTAAATCCTTGAACTATAAGGGGGAGTAAAAAGTAATGGCAAAATAAGAGAACAAGAGTCACTCTACAAGAGTGAACTCTTATAACCCGGTTTCGTTCCCATGAACAGCATCGAGGGCTTCGTGCCCTTGTGCCTTTGATCGATTACTGATGTTTAAGATGTTATAGGTAGGTACTTTGGTAGGCCTTAATTTCACTGCATTATCTTACCCTTCAATTAAATATCACTATCGACCTATACATATATTTTGTAAAACGTAAGTAGTTTCTTCTATTAGTTATTATTATATATTAAAGGTACGAATGAAGCTTAACATAGATTGAAAATTGAAGTATTGTAAGTGGATATATATCCTATATGTGACGTCGTATTTGAGTTCTGCCGATGAATGATAAAATATCTTTAATTAAAATGTTAAGACGAGTTCAAACGGTTGCCATAGAAACCAAAAGAAATGGAATCTATATGGATGACGTCACAAGGTCTCTTTTGAAATTTTTGTAGGAAGGTATCTACTTATATTTTACAGAAGAACCCTAACTGTCTGTTACATAATTTGTTTTATCTTCTCACTAACAGGCAAAGCCTATGAAGTAATTATACAATATATAATGTAAATAAGATGAAGGTTTAAACAACACGTTTTATTGGCGACATCTCATCTACATTTTGAAACCTGTTCCGCTACTCGGGAGCTTGTGTTCGTCAAACGCCACAGTTCTGATACAAAACTAAGGTGTATCGGAAAGTACGCAATATTCACAATTCAAGTTTAAGAGGTGCCACAGCTTTTATTTCGCAAGTTTTGTGCCCATGTCGCGACGGTCACGGGGTAAACAGTCATGGGAGGTACGCGCTTCTACTCTCGCCAGGAATACACATAACCTGATACGAGGAATAGTGGAGAACTTACAAGTGGAGCCGAATCCAAATAAACAATTAATTGCTCTTTCCGTTGGTAAGTCCCTTGAAAGAGTGCCGAATTTGTAAATTAGTTATCAGATAGACAAAATATTAACAATAATCACAGAGTAATTAACACTACGTTTTCTAGGAGTTGGCACTGCCCTTATGAGAATTGAACTAAAATAGTATCTATCTAACAAACTGTGATTTCCTAAACAACAAAAGTCTGCACTGTTTCACATAAAATGTCTTTTGTTTTAATTGCGGCGGGCCTGTACATGAGAACCAAAAAACTGTTAGAATGCAAACAATCGCTTCCCGCAGTGAAAAGAAATTATTAAACAGATTCAAATAAAAAATATTTTTCTAGTTCAAGCTTGCCTATATATTTTGTTTATTTTCTAATGTATTAATTGCTACATAAACCTGTTAGATCGTTAGTTAAATTACGGTGTTGGACATAAACTTTTTCCAGAACTTTATTGTTGAGTCGGTTTTTCGTAGATTCGTATCTAAATTAATAATTTTACCGTTTTTGTGAATATTTATACTTACTGTATATCAGACGGTTCTACCTTAGATTTAAAATAAAATTTAGAAATAGAAGATAAAAATAAACAAATTAGGATACAATAAAATTTTATAGCTCTTCTTTGGTAGGAAGATGCTTAGGTAAACATACTGTAGTCGCATTATGACTTCAAATCAGTTCAAAAAAATCGATCGGTAGTATCCACCATATTATTAAATTGTTTGCTTCTTTAGCTATTCTAGAAGATCACAATATTTTGCTGAAAACATACTGCTTCCTACATAGGAACAAACGTACCTATCTACCTACAAACGAAAAATCGAAGACATGACACATCTAATATTTTGTAATTTGTTTGGTTCGGACAACCGGTATTTTCGCAATAGATCTTTACTAGTGATCGTAATATAAATTTAGATTCAATTTATACTAATATCATGTTAATTAGAAGAATAAATTTGGCAGGGTCGATTTGAATTCGCTCGCACGTCATCACCGCACGTACCTAAAGTGAAGTTGTGCCGATTGCTTATTTGCATTTAATTTATTTTAAAATTGCTTATTGGTATATTAAGATATTACTAGGACTGACTAAATATAAATAAAATATTTTATTTACATTAAAACAAGTACTCCAGTTATATTTTAATCATAGCTGTTCGGGGCTATTGTCCACAAAAGAATTGCCAGATACATGCCATTACAGATCAATGATATATAAAACAATAGAATATTATTAATAAGGTTGGATATTTATATTATTCTGAAGCAAGTAATTATAAATCTATAAATATAAGGTTTATTAAAAACATTTGTCAAACATCAACTACCTATGTACCTAATAGGTAGTTGATACTGAGTATCAGATGTCTGTACCCATATGGATATTACGATTTCAATACAGAACACTAAAAAGAGCGGCCAAGGTCAACAGGGTATATTGATTTCACAATATTTTTTTTATTAAGCAAGCGTTCTCCGGTATGTCTATCTATAATCTGGAACTATTTTTCATGCTAAACAATTTTCAGGTGACCCGACGACATTTGGTAATCTCAATCCTCCAGAGCAAGTGCTCCAGTCTGTTCGTGAGAGTATACAATGGCATACAAGTCGAGGATATGCTCCTGTCACGGGTCACCTGGAGGCGAGGCAAGCTGTAGCTGAATATAGTGCTCATCAAGGCCCTATATCACCGGATAACGTAATACTTTGCAGTGGTTGCTCCCATGCTTTAGAACTTGCCATCACAGTATTAGCAGACTCTGGCCAAAATGTGCTTGTACCACGGCCGGGTTTTATGATATATAAGACAGTTGCTGAAGGATTGGGAATAGTAATAAAATATTATGATTTATTGGTAAGTTTTATATTTACATTGCTAATTATAAGATTATTCTGTGATTAAATTGAATGACTCTCCATAAATTAAATAAGTTATATTCCGGGCTCTATGATATTATCAATTTCAAATTATATATTATAAATAATATACATGACATATAAATATATATATATATATATGTATATATATAATAATATATATATATGTGTGTTTGACTAGTAATGAAATGAAGAGACTGTTAACAAATGATAATGTGAAATTTCGATTACAGTTTCAGGTTCAAATTAAAATCTTAATATTATTATCTTATTTGTTGTGTTTGACAAATATCATTAAGTTTACCCTGTACTGTTGTACTGTTGTTATTGGAAAACATTGAGAAACTTGTGACAAAATAATATTGTTAAAAAGTATCGAATCCGTCAGTAGTCGGTTGGACATGTGTGTAAATATGAGGCGATATTATACAAGTTTCTAGAAACATAACAAGTTTCCACTTTATTGTGAACTTTATTTGCATATTATTTATTCGTTGATTTCTTTTTAACTACGCAAATCCTTGATTAAAGGTTGTATAAAAATAATCATTTGGAATAATTAAGATGTACATTTTTATTTTCAGCCTCATAAACAATGGGAAGTGGACTTGGATGATTTGGAAAGTCAAATAGACGATGATACGGCAGCTATAGTAGTTATTAACCCATCGAATCCATGTGGTTCGGTCTATAACAGAGATCACTTAAGTGACATAATAAATATAGCTGCTAGAAATCATATACCAATAATTGCAGACGAAATATACGAACACTTCGTATTTTCTGGTCACGAATTTATTTCTATGTCTGCCTTGTCCAAGGATGTACCTATACTGACTTGCAGTGGTTTAACCAAACGATTCTTAGTTCCTGGATGGAGAATGGGGTGGTTGATAGTTCACGATCGCCATAATATTTTAGGAAAAGAAATTGTGAAGGGCTTAAATAATGTAGCAAGTAAAATTTTAGGACCATGTACATTAATTCAAAGGGCACTGCCGTCGATATTAAAAAATACGCCGCAAACTTTTTTCGATGAAGTGGTTTTGTTTATTGAGGTGAGTGGAAGGTTCCATAGCGCTCGTATGGTGACTAATAATTTTAATCGGAATGTAAAAATGTGAATTCATTTAGCATGCCTGTGATCGTTGCATATAGGTATTCGGAAATTCTTTTACAATAGTGTTAATGATACAAATATCTTTTTTATTATTAGATTAGGTTTTAGGATAAACTTTACAAGACATTTTTGATTGAAGGAAGGTAAATTTAATTCAACCGAGAACCAAATCCGGAACTTGATTTGCCTCATTTTTATTAACTACCTACTTATTCCAAGAGGTTATTGGAATTTTGTGCTGAAGCTCTGGTGATAGTAATTAGGAAACTCAATCGCTTAGGTATCTGATTTGTAATATTTCGATTTCCAAATCTAATAAAAACAATGTTTGTATGGTATAATCTAAGTATAATTTTTTTATTCTTTTATTTTCAGAATCAAGCAAAACTTGCGTACGAAGAACTACGTGGAGTGCCAGGACTACGGCCTATAATGCCTCAGGGTGCTATGTACATGATGATTGAAATTAAAATGTCAATGTTTCCAAAGTTTGAGAATGAACTCAAATTCGTAGAAAGTATGGTTTCGGAACAATCCGTATTCTGCTTGCCTGGAAAGGTTAGTAACCCATCGCTCATAGATTAGCTGACATTGCTTAGGAAAGTAGAAACAAAAATAAATGAGTATCCTGCATCAGCCATAGGATTTACTTATACAGTATGCATAGGCAGGATGGACAATGCTTACTGTATAAGTAAATGGGTAGCAGCTAGCAGCTAGCAGTAGTGGGTCTAACATATTTCATACACCAATCAGCTTCTTTTGTAAATCCTGTTTTAGTTGTAGTAGTTGTTGTAGTTAAGATGCAGATTAGGTAGTGAAATTACTGGATAAGGGGCATGAATTTTAGACCTCTAGAATTGCCAATCTAGAGGTCGCGTGCACGTGCGAGGTGCACGTATCAGTGGCATCGCGGGTGTCACATAATAACGTGATATCTGTAGTGCTGTTCGCATATATAGGTAACTGTTATCGCTTACCATCTAGTGAGCCATCAGCTTGTTTGCCATTCCAAATATATAAAAAACAATGGACAGGTGATCTAATTGTACAAGTGGAGTAAATATATTTATAATATTGAAAATATTATTATTGATATAATCTTCAAAGTAAGATCGTCTTTGTTTTATTTTGAAAAAAGACATATATATTGTAAATATATTTAATATAATGTCTGATGATCTAATGTCTAAATTTGGTTACGGTAGGTGTCTAAAATTAAAATAGTCCTTCAAGCAATGTTTATCGGATACATATATACTTTGAAACAACCTACTTAGCAAATTTTTAGAACTTTGGATCTAAGTTATAAGATTCTACCTACTATGATTAGTAACTTACAATTAACTACGAATAATTTGCAATGATTGAGAAAAACAAAGTTTACTGGGCCAAGTAATAGGTATATTCATAAATAATCTTTTAATTTCAGTGTTTTTGTTATCCCAATTATATGAGAATAGTCTTAACAGTACCTGAAGATATACTGCGAGAGGCTTGTCAGAGAATAACATTATTTTGTAAAGAGAATATTACATCAAGAGAAAAGATAAGAGAATTTGAAAATAACGAAGTGTCTGTACAAAAAGATACTAATGTGATATGTGAAGATATACCAACCATTGCATAATTTCATAGTAATTTTAGATAAGTTTATTAGTTACCTATTTAACTGAATATGTTTCTACCTACTTATCTACTGTTAATACTTAGGTTCATTTAAGTGTATGTTTATATAGGTAAGTACACTAAAATTTGATATGTCGTTGATTGTTTTAATAATAAAATGTGTTTAGAAAAGATTCAGTTTATATCTTTTATATAAGTTTTATGTAATAAAATTTTTACTAACATGTTTTTCTTCCATTATAAGTTGACTGACTAATATTTAAAACTGAAGGGTCTGTATATTTGAACACGTTAATCTTTTATTCTAGATAATTAATTACTACAAACATTATTTTTACATTTTATAGCTTACTAGCTACTCGCCCCGACTTTGCACGGATGTACATGTATTATATATGTAAATCTTTCTCTTGAATCACTTTATCTATTAAAAAAACCGCTTCAAAATCCGTTGTGTACTTAAAGATTTAAGCATACATGGACAGACAGCGACAGCGACTTTATACTATGTAATGATGACGATAATAGTAATTATACTTTATGACTGTTAACTCAGTGAGGGGGTCATAAACACACACCTATTAATTTGAATTCAACGACACACGAAGCGAGCCTGCCAGTTTTTGGTGTCAGTTAGATTCGAACTTGCGCCCTTTTTTTAACTATTCTACGGCAGTTGGGTTGGGTTGGTTGAACTGTGAATTGTATGAACCAGTAAAATTGTAAACAACTTCACTGGGCGAAATAGATGGCGAGTGCAGAGGGCACTCCAAACCTTATTGAACGGCTGAAAGCCAACTCCTACCGATACGATATTAATTTTATAGCTATAGTAAGGTTAACTCTTTCATAACAAAAAGAAAAATCGATACGATATTAATTCTTATAAATATAGACAATGTGTGAAACAGAATGAAGAATTCTAGTCGTTCTTGCGAGATTATATAAATGCTGTTACATGAGTTACATCCTTTGAGTAATAAGATATTTCGTTCTTATAACGGTATGTTTTTTTTTAAATCTGAAGTTGACATCTGGCGTGCCGTATTCTCAAAGTCTTGACAGTGACATTGATATTTAAGCGATGCGTAAAAGGCATAAGTCACTCAAAGAAAATGACAACTGACGGAATAAATTGACTGACTGCTAATATTGTAATTTCTCACATTATCGTAATATATTTTGGACTTGAACTAATATTTTATTAATGCAATTAATAATAATAGTGACTTGTAATTATTTACGAATTCGCTAATCACAAGGAATTAACAATTTTTTATTTTGTCTCTTATTTAACATGTCTCAATTGAAAACAAATAAGAAGTTTAAATGGGCTCTAGATTTTAATCCCAAGTAAGTAATATAAATTAAGATCAAAATATTTATTTCTCTTCAAGCAATCTCATAAATTAACAATTTATTTAAGATTGCTTGAAGAGAAATAAACTCATAAAACTCATTTCCAGGAACAAAACCTCGACAACAGAATTGGCCTCTCCGCCTGGTTATACTCAATCAGCAAATGCGAATTATACAGAAACCTCAAAAGATAATGACTCTAATTTATTATTAATAAAAAAGCTATGGGACGTCGCCTTAGGGCCTTTGAAGCAGGTACCTATGAACCTTTTCATCATGTATATGGCTGGAAATTCTATTTCCATTTTTCCAATAATGATGGTGGGTATGTTAATTGTTCGCCCAATTAAAGCACTGTTTGCTACACAAAGTACATTCAAGATGGTAGAAGGAACTCAGGCAATTGGACAGAAATTTGTTTACTTTATTGGGAATATTGTTAATATAATATTGGCTCTGTATAAGTGCCAAAGCATGGGTTTACTGCCTACCCATTCTAGTGATTGGCTAGCATTTGAAGAACCACAAACTAGAGTGGAACATGTGGGAGGTGGTTTGTCTTTACTTTAAGGTAATAAAAAAAACTGCAGTATATTGTTTTTATTGCTAATGTTAATTTATTAAAACATCATTGTATAGAACTAATAAACGGTATTTACAGTAAGACAATATTAGAGTTTCATTTCCTGGCTACATTTGCTCATCAGTCCTTTCCCTTTTTACCTTCATTTAACTCTGCCATTTTAGCCTTTAAATAAGCTTGTGCTTTTTCAAATAATGACATCGGATCTTCAACTTTTTCTATCTATAATAATAACACTTGCATTAATATAATTATAAAATACTACAACAGTAATGTTAGTTAACTATTTTCATTAACGGTGCAATAATTTGGAGTTATGAGATTAGCCAAGGTTTTGCATATTAAAGAGAGTAACTTGACAAAAAAAATTGGATTGTAATTGAAATTTATTCACAAGACATTTATAGAATTATATATAAATTAATTAATAAATATAAAGTACATATAATCACACATAGTAGTACATGTAATCGTCTAATTATTAGTTGTTCAATTTGATTCTCATTTACCTATTCTAAAGTACTATCTGTCCTGATAAACTACTGTAATTCATTGCAGTTAGCCAATTATACAATAGAGGCCATAGCCCAACTACTTTCTACACTGGTTTCTATGGTGTGCGAGAAAATTATGTATATTATTACATTAAAACAATATAAATGAAATAAGAAATTAAAAATAATTTGGTGACAAATGAATTGAACAATGAATTAATGAATTTAATCAAAGAAGTACTAATATACTTAATTTTTAATAGGAATAACATACACATATTGGACTATTAATGAATATTATACTTATTACAAAACACTTGACCTCTTTACCATCTGAAAACATGATTTATATTATAATTGTAATAATTATCCATTATATATAAAAATATTGTAAAATATATATATTTTAGGTTAAAATTAGTTATGTGTTGGTATGATAATGAATAGGTAGATCAATATACTATTATTTAATTTCATATAATAAATACTATGAATTAAGACCAACTATAAAATTTACAAAATAAAACAACATAGCTACTTCTAATGAGTTCTTAGCATATTTCCTGGTTCAAATATAAGCAGAAAAAAAATAAAAGTAAACTAACCATTTCTTTTTGTCCAATGTTTTGTCACATTCCTGAGATGTTCTTTTACAAATAAGTCGAACAGCATCCTGAATTAAAAAAAAATACTTTAACCTTATAGTTCAGAATTTGTATACAGAAATGTGACAGAGACAAAAGAGGCCATACAAAAATATGAACCAGGAGTTTGCTAATAAGAACTATTGGCCTTTCCTTTAATCCACAATTATGTAGTATTGGGCATGGCCTCCTTTGTAATAACCATTACAAGTATTCAAACATGAATACTCGTAATAGTAGAACTAATTAATTAGAAATTCTATTGCATATTTTATAATAGGGTTTGCTTTAGTTTGACATGATTCAAAAAGTTTTGTGTAGGTTGTAGTTAAGATGAGCTAATGTTAAAGGAATTAAATGGGCTGATATAATATTAACATATCAAGCAATTCAACCAAGGAATGAATGCTGTGACCACCAAACACCACACTTATATACACATGTTAGTACCTGATAATTTTGTGCTACATAAACACCGGTGTAAACTCCGGTACCAAAAATTATCTGAAATAACAAAATAGCTTTAATGAACAATTATTGACAATTTTTAACAATAACATAAATCTATAGATGTCTTACTCCTGTTTTGATTAATGAAATTAAACAACCCATAATGAAATAAGTTGGTTAACAAATTGAAATATTAAGATTTATCCAAAATCATTTTTTTAGTTCAGATTATTAGTGAAAATGTGTGTAGTATATATACAATATCTATTGTACAATTTTTACATAATAGCTGTCATACTGACATTCCTATTTCGAAGTTTTGGTATGTGTAAAAATTGTTTTGAAAATGGTAAAATATATATTAGAAAGAGGTTAAAAATGCTGTATCCTAACAATTAAAGACAGTTCTAGTAGGTGCAGGCAGTTCTTATTTTTGGTGAAATATAAATATAATGATTGCATATTTATAGAAATATAAAATTTTTGGTATAATTATTATATAGCAGAATATCTGTACTACATTAAACTAGTACTTCAGTAGCTGCACTGTAGACTTACTGAGTAGAAATAATATCTTTTAGCAAGATAACCATTGTACATGTTTTGAATAGTAAAGTAGTAATATCTATAATATATATTTACTATTTATTAAAAAAAACATCAATGTTGCAGTTTTAATAAATAATATTACAGTAATAATATTACAGACAAGAAAACTTGCATGGAAATTTAATTAAATTGTTGACAGCTATAAGTATTTAATTTAATATTTTTAGTAAAAATGGCATAGATTCAAATCAAAGATTCAAATATTGCAAATGTTTTGAATTCTTAATTAAAATTGCTGATTAAAAAGATCATCTTACGATTAGAAGGGTATTTATAATTGTATGACTAATTTCATAAAATTATAAATTATAAAAACAGAATTATTTATAAAATAATTCAAGTTTCATAACATGAAATTAGAACGGCAAGGGTTTGTGATTATTATATAAATCATCTAAGTAAGGCGACGATGCTTTGAAACCTGAAATAAAATCTATGAGAGCAAATGAAAGTTACTACATACAATAGATAGAAATAGAAATGAAGATATATGTGTAAGCTTTTTAAAATTACAGAATTTTGGTGCTATTAACAGAAATTATAAATAGATATATTATTGCTTACCAGCCCTTTAAGCATCTTTGAAATAGTTGTAAAAATAATTTAAGTCCAAATTTACTTTATATTCGGGTAGGTGTTTCAATCCCTCAATGTAGGAATTTCATTGAAAACGGAAAACTATTTCTTTTTGTTCCGTTTGATTGACACTTTGATTTGGCACATGACAGTTTGAATTGAAAGATTAGATAAAATGTAGAATCATGGCTATGACGTTAGCTGGTTATCATAGCTGTCAAACAAAAACAATGAAGTGTTATTTACATTATCCAATCTGCTATATTCGTGTCGATCTCCGAAACTGTTTAAAAAACACTTTAAAATCATTTTCAGTAAGTGAGTCTATTCTTTCCGTAGCTTAGCTGCGTTCTCAATATGAACTAATGTTAACCAGATGGACATTAAAGACATAGTCAATTATTAATGTCAGTCGAGCGACGGAATTTTTACTGACAGGGACTTACAGCCACATTGCTATCAATGTACCATAACCGGTAGTCCTTCACGCAGTACGTTTTCTCCCTAGTAAATTACGATAACTGATTCTTGATAAATTTACCAAGAGAGACTGACATTTCTTGTTAATCTTAATATCGAACACCGATGCCACGGTGTTATACCTATACCGTGAGCGCAAGCAGTAGGCGCATCGACGTATACTTTGTTAAAAGTCATCTGTTTGTATTCATTTATTACTCGTGAACGAGTGCCGCTTGTAGGGACTGATCTGCTCTAATCACTACAACTGTTTTAATCCTATTGTGTACTTAATATCTCAAGCTAATAAATTGGTGCTAGTTGGTGGTATATATTCGCACGCTTCAAAATGGAAATGTAATATTACAATGATTTATTTAAAAGAGCAACACGCAAGTTTCTTCCTTGTTCTTCTTGTGATGAGAAAGCTTTCTGAAAAAGCGGTAGGTTAAAAGAATGATATCTATGACTATTCAAAAGTGCTTAAATTAAGTTTATTTGGATAAATTATTTTATATTCTATTCTGTTCACCTTTTCCAGTTGCCAATAAGTTTGCTTTGTAGATTGTTTTTCGATTGATGGCTGAACTAATGAAGGAATACTTTTGCATAAGAGGCACAATATCTTAGTCCTCCAAAATGATAAAGTGTAAGTGGTATCACGATCTTTACATGAACACGCAATAGCTATAGTGTCATTCATGTACCTATAGGTATGGGCGACGGTTACCGCTCACCATCAGATGTATTTCGAAATACATAAAAAAAGAAATATATATATATATATATATATATATAATATACCCCAGTTCGCTGAGTATAAGCATTTGAATTCAACGTGACAGAGCGAGAACATCGCTAACGCTATCTCTCAGATAAATTTTGTTCTGTTACCGGTGGTGCCATCCACCGGAGAATGAATCAGGGAGTTAACACAAGGATTTTTGATGTTGCTCAGACTAAAACTATGAGGGTAGTGAACCAATTGGCTACAACGCTCTCTTATGATTGGGTATCATCGGTTCTATATAAATAAATTTCTCTTTAGAACGTAGTACGGGACTTGTTTAAGTTTGGTAATAAAAAAAATAGGTTTGCGTAAGAATCCATATAGTAGGTACTTTTGAAATATGGAAATGAATGAAGAGATAACAATATTGTTTACACATTTAATGACTTTTAACATTACCAAAGACATTCGGTTACTTAATAACTAACTTATTGATATCTTTGTACAATACATTAACAACCACACTTGTCATCTTTATGAATGAACATTCATAACCATTGTAACCGAGTTTAATTTAGAAATTACATAATTGTTATATACCTAATTAATATAACAAGTAGCTAGATTATTAAAACGTATAACTTTATAGTAAGTATAATTGGAAGCACATACGATATTTGTATATCCATCTGATAGATATCTACAGTTTGATAGACTTGTCTGTCGGTATTTATTGATGAGGACGATATGGATAGATATAAATAGGTATTACTATTATACTACATTGCACAAAGCACACACAAAAAATAGACACAAAGCCTCACATAGCTATAACATGTTTAATTCTTAAGGACTTCGATTCAGGGAGTAACTAACAAACGTACACTTGTAGTTCCTGGAATATTATTTTTATATTTAATTGGAATGGTAAACAAGCCTACGACTCATCTGATGGTAAGTGGCATCTTTGACCTGTATGCATATTACAAGAACAGGAACATGGTTATCACATCATATTTCTGCTATGAGTATGGTTATAAAGTGTGTGGGACGTGATCGTAGTATATACCCCTCATGTGTTACCATTTTGGAAGTTTGGATATACCTAGTAATTTCATTGCCATGAATTCGGTTGAAGTATGAAATAACTTTCAACAGAAATATGGTTTACAAAGGAAGCAAGGTATAGAGTCTACCTATACGGCTAAAAATATAGCAGTTGGTATGTTAAAATATTGGTTCGGTATATTATGTATCAGTTACATCTCGCATTCAACTAAACATATAGTAAAGTAGCCAATTCCTAAAATATTATATTGACCGATTGCTGATATAAACTGCAAACGTAGACTTGCGGTAGAAAGAGTAATATAATACTCATAAATAATCTCCTCACTACTGCATTTGAAAATTTTGTATTATTTTTATGTGTGACATTAAATGATATAGGTACCCTGTGCTTTCTACAAGTACATTCGACTACTTACAGTTTAGTACCTACTACCTAATTTAAGTAAAGAAACAAATCATCATGCTCTTTTGAAAATTATTATTTTGATAATGCTCCTATAATTTGAAATCAATAATTATTATAAGAATAACCCTGTACAATTCACACAGCACCGTCATCAGACCAATACAAACAATCATACTCATGAATACAAATGTTTAAGAAGTCTAAACGGATGTGGTATACTATGTTATTAAGTTTCTTAGATCTAGGTCTTTAGACTAAAATATACATTAATTTTATATCATTTCACCATGTTCATAGATAGCACTGCGGGCCTAGATAAGCGTATAGTGTATACTTCTACCTATCTCTTTGCGACGGGTGCAACTTTCCATCAGATAAGCCACCTGTTATTACCAAAGTAGAATATTCTTATCCACTGTAGTTACTATGAAGGTTTCTACAGTGAATGCTTATATTATTTACATACCTATATTAGATTAATCAATTTAACTTGTTTGATTTAGGTAGCAGTTTAACTGATTTTACAGTTATTACTTATTTACAATATTATAAATAATACGTATCCATTATCGGACACACATTTCTAAAATATAGGTACCTATTACAAAATCAACAACATAACCATTAAAAAATAAATGATTTTACTTAAATAGGTACCTAACTAATTTCGCTACTATGATATTTTCGAGTTCTCTTCATAATTACTATGCGGTACAGAATAATTTATCTAGTTAGGAATGTATGGTAACTAGGTTAAAATCTTACATAGACTATATTAGATAAAATAAAAACTTAAACAACTAGTTAATGTTCAAAGGAAAATATAAATGATAATACTATAATAGTTGAAACATTTGTTCCGAAAGACAAGATATTTTCAACTCTATATTATTGTAGTAAATTGTATTATTTACATCACATATTATGCATATTATCGAATGTAGGTAATGTGAACCAGAGAACTTAGTTTACATTTGAGCAATTCGCGAATATATATCTAAGTTTGTATTGTCTTTTTAATCCAGATAGCCATATTTAGAAAACTGTTATACCTATATAATATACATACAGCTGTACGTACGTACTCATATGGTATAGTAGGTAAACTATTTTTCACCTACTTAAAACAACAACCATGAGTTTATCACATGTAAAATGTACCTACTAAGTATTAGTTCTTGACTTAAAAGCTATTATTGGTTATTCAGTTCATTGCTCAGCATTACGGAACAGGTATTGTATAGAATCCTCGTGAAGTGCAATAAGTAGCATAATTACTCCGCCTGCAAGTATCCCTAATACGGCTAGAATTAAATTTATACTTTTACCATGGTTATTTTCATTTATTTCTGGCACTAGATCAGCTAAAGCTATGTATAAAAATGTACCAGCCGTAGCGGCATAAATCCATTGGGATGTCGACTCATGGTCTTCAGCCAGCCAAATGCCACCAGCCATTCCCATAAAACTGAGTACGGATGATAATAGATTATAATATAATGCACGCTTTATACTCATGCCAGACCGCAGTAGCACTGCAAAATCACCCAGCTCATGCGGGAGCTCGTGACAAAAGACTGCAAGTGCTGTAGCAAATCCAGTCACTGGATCTCCACTAAAAGCAGCGCCGATAGCCAAGCCATCAGTTAAATTGTGTAAACCGTCTCCAACAATCACCATTAGCGCTGTTGACGTCATCGGTCGTTCGGCTGGCGGAGGCGGTGATCCCGGCATCATAGCTCCCAATTCGACGGCCTCAACTTGCTTTGTAGATTCAGTTTTTATTTCTTCTACATTTGTACCTTGTGAATGATCATGGGAATGTGAGTGTCCGCCATGTATAGTTTGCATAATTGCTTCTACCGTGTAAAAAAGAAGTACTGTCAAAAATGTAACGCTACATTTCAGTACGACTTCAGTTTCTTCTTGAGGTTCAGAGGAGGGTCCATGAGATTTGAGGGCATGCGGCAATAAATGTAATAGCGCGTCACCACACAACGTACCCACGGCTATTGCGACGAGGAAATGAAGAACATGGCTGAATATAACAGACTTGAGAAGAGGTACTATAGCCACACCCATCAGTCCAGTAGCACTGATCACAAGAATACTCAAACTGGCGTATATCCAAGCTGCAATAAAATAAAATTACATATTATTATAATAAAAACTTGCATTCTATAAAATATGTTCTAAAACTTAATCAACTTACTCCAATGTCGTTCCAATTTGGGGCCCGGTGCTTCGGTTTTGTAGCAAGAACGTTGATCTAGTTGGTATACTAAAGCTGGACACATTTCTAGGAAGACTTTCGGCTTGATACTAATGACTCCAGGCTCGTTCTCCATTCCGTACATTTCCAATATTTGTCTCGGAGATAAGCATGATTTTTGGATTAATGAATCAGCTATAAAAAAATAAAACCATTTATTAACAATTATATTTTTACTTCTCTTCCGATTTTTAGCAATTTTAATAGATCTTGATTAGGTTTCTGTAGTAGTTTATTTTAAGGGAGTTCAATATAATATGGGCAATATTATATTGAATACAGAATACCTATTTATTTTTTATTATTCTTTTTTCTTTTTTTACTGTTTAGCGATTAAAACCAATAGCCAGATAGCTTTACTGCCACATTTAATTTTAAAATAAGATGTCAGTAAAGTTTTCTTATTGTGTCAATAAAACTAGGTTTTGCTATTGGTATGGATTAAAGGAATCTACAAGTACGTACTTGTAGCTGGACGTTAGTTGAGTTTTATTCTCGTAATAGGATAATGGAAGTTTTATAAATGACGGCCGCACTGCCGTTCGCCTTCTGGCATAATCAACTCTACATACACGGTTTAGTCAGTTAAGAACAGTCTGTTCTGTAGAACATTCAGTAGATGTTTATAAATAACAGAAGTAAATAACATTATCCTCCGCATTTCTATGTCTATATGAAAAAGAAATGCTTTCTAGAGTACTAAATAAAAATGAATGAACCTTAAGCTAGCATTTACGTGCTAATAAATGAAAATGTCATATTTTAACTACAGAGTAAGTTACTTCGTTAAGTAACTGTAAAAGTAATAGTGTAGTAGATATTATTTGCATTGGTTTTGTAACTTTATCAACACAGTCATGTTGATTCACGTGTAAAGCCACACGAAACATTGTTACTTGGTCAAATGGTAGGAAAAAATTAAAGAAACGTTAAATCATTATTACCAACAAATAAGTTATTCTACAAACATCGACTACTGATTTCCTGATATAATCTGTAATACACAGAAGTACTGTTTTGAAAACCTTTAATGTTTCGTTTTGACAAACAGCTTTTTGGTTGGCGGTAAAAATAAATGAGATTTCAGTAATTCTATATTCTGTTCAACGCTGTTAAAGTGTTTTGTTTGCGTTCTTCGAATCTTCCGACCATAATATAACTTGGAATATATAGTTTAGCAATCACTATTGTATTCAGATAAGCAAAAAAATAATGATTTAGTAAAAAAGCCGTTGGATAATTCCACCGTCATCATTACTTACAGCAAAACTAGCGTATCTATAATGGATCGCAGCGGCCACGGTTCAGTTTGTTGACACGTCAATGAATAAAAAAACTACTAATAGATCAACTACCTGCTTTTTAGCATTCAGTCTGTGAAAAATATTGTCAACCGACTTTAAAAAGGAGTTTGTCAATTCGATCGTAGATATTTTTTGTATAGCGTAGGTAACGTTTTGGCGAGTGGTCTGGATTAATAAGATTGCTGCAAAGGATACTAATTGCTGTATTGGAAGAAATGTATCCATTACTTCAACTTCCACTAGTGTCTAATAAGCAGGTCGGACTCCATCGCGATAAAAAACACATGCTTATTAAGCAATTAAATTAAGATTAATTACTGTTTGTCCATTTGAGGTTTCTTACTTAAATCTAAGTAGATCTTTGTGAAAATCTGAAGTGTTGAAAATCTTAAATGGCATTTAGAAAAGCGATGAAAACTATAATTGCAGATAATAAGAAAAACAAAGCAATACCTACTAAGATGGTAATGATAATAGGTACGTGTTACGCTGTAACCAAATCGTGACTTAGTGGAATTTAATAGAAATAATTTTTATTCAAATAAACAATTTCGAGTAGTTATTATGTACGATTTTATCGCCACATTCACAATGTCAATTCAGCCGAGAAGAATGAGCAAGAAACTCGGTTATTACTGTTGTTAAAAAAATGTCGAATAGACTTTTTGTGAATATAAGTACCAACTAGCATAAAATTACAATGAACATAATATTTTTTCTTGCTAAGAATTTTTCTAGATTCCTTCTTGAAATTGATATGAATTTTAGTAGTCAATAAATAGGTTTTATTTAGATATAACGGGTACCAAGTCGGCAGTTAATTAGTATCTATGACTTTTTGGTTCCCAACTTAGTATAATTTCTTTATTTTTATATTATTATTAATAAAAAAACTCCTAACCTACTATAAGTAAAAGGCTATTAAAACTATCTATATATCTATTACCTATGTTTTTATTGTATTATAATATTTTTTCTAGTTTAACATTTTAAAACAAATTAAATACCTGACTGTTAATTTTCTTCTCAACTTTACCTTCTATGCTACATGAACAAATGATTATATGTATGGTATGTATTCATTATAATTAAGTGATGACTTTTAGGTAGGTATTTGTCTATCTTTAGCCAATGTGTTTGCTTATAGGTAAATATATAGGTAATATAGTAGGTAACTCAGGTTACTTACATAGTAGGTTCTCTAATTTTTTTACGTCAAACACATTGAAGGATGTCACCTATCGGTACGGACAATAGAAACACTATTTCCTCCTTTCATAAAGTTTTGTGAGAAACTTTTCAAGGGTATACAATCTGCAAGGGCGTTGAATATTGAAAGAGCTATGTTTAATGAACCACGTAATTTATCAATTCTAGTTCCAATAAAAGAGTAGGTACGATAGTTAATTATATAAAAGTCAATCTCGAAGTAAATACCATTAAAAATCTATTTTTTTATAACTTTATATACCATTTGTATAAAATTATTTACGTAAAATAAATATGAAACCAATACTTACGATCAATAGTGTCTATATACACTATGGAAAGCAATTGAAAACAGAATTAGTAAGATCGGTTCAAAATCGTCCCAATTACAAGGACACAATTACTACAGATATGAGAATATTCGCTACATAAATAACATAGTCAAATTGTAAAACTTCTTTTTGAAGTCGGTCAATTTTATTGGTAGATGAAATTAAGTTATTTATGACAAGTTATACTAACTTGGTGGTGGCGATCTCTTGTGTCTGTGTTGTGTGTCGTGAAGTTGGCGGAAGGTGCCGTTAATGCGATGGAGAGCCAGATCATGGGGAGAATTGAACACCCGCCCTCCAAGCCCGAGGCTATCCAGCAGATGCTCGAAACCCTGCAAATTAGAAAACAGTGAGTCATGAGTAGGTAACAACATTAATATTGGGTTGCAATTGATTACCGAAATAACCAATACCACATCTTCCATTTTAAAATCTTTCATCAACTTGAACTTATTACTTTTTGGAAAAATGAAAATATCAGAAGAAAGGAAACTACTACTACTTCTTAACCTATATATATTATATTTTTAGTATAAAGAAAAACGAACTTCTGAGTGAACCATGCCTTGCGGGGACCTAGTCCATCGTGCGGCAGAGAGGGAAACTTCGAGCATTTCTGGGGACTTGTGACCCGGGCGTAGGTTGAAAGGGCTCCTTGCATACGTCAATATTATATTATTTTACTAGCTACTCGCCCCGGCTTCGTCTGGGTGTACATGTATTATACACATAAACCTCCCTTTTGAATCACGCTATTAAAAAAACCTCTTCAAAATTCGTTGCGTAGTTTTAAGCATACATAGGGATGGACAGACAGCGACAGCGACTTTGTTTTATACTAAGTATGTAATAAATAATAATGATAATGCTGATACGAAAAAGGTTCAGAACATGTATGGTATGAAATTTGTTACGAACAATTTACTTTTCTCAGAAGAGGTTTTAATAAATATACATTAATAACATCGGTGTGGAATCAGTGAAATTATCATGTAAAATATACACAAATAAATTAAAAGGTATTTCACCTTTTGCAGTATCCTATCTTACATATTCTATGTTAAAAACGATACCTGTATCTATTGTAAACAGTTTGATACAAATCGAAAAATTGCTTTTCGTTTGTCGATAAATAAATAAATACGGCAATATACAGGTCGTACCATAAGTTCTTTGAAATTTTAATTTCGAATTAAATGCAAACGACCTGCGTTGTGTGGGGATAGCACTAACGGTCTTTTGGAATTAAATCGTCATGGAGAGTATCACAGAAGTGGACCCTGCTTTTTGTATGCGTGAGTTTTACGTGTAATTCCGCAAATTACCCAGGTTTAATGAATGTCCTAGTGTTCAAACGATTAAGAACTAGATCTACAAGTTCGAGATATATAAATACATCGTTGTATATTTATTATTATGTTTTCAGTTCAAGGGACTTATATGACAGCCTGTATATTGGCGTATTAACTACTTTATACACGTGTAAAGGTAAATTCCAGATCCCTACATTATTAGTGAAGTCAAGTTGAAGGTTATATGTATGATATCTATTTGCGATAAGTGATGATAAGTAACAAGATAATTTTGTTATGCAGCCTTATAAGCAACTTATCTGAGAGAAGCAATAGGTAGCACTACTAACTTATGTTGTAGTGTTCGAAATACCATACGGATGTATTATCATGCTATATGTCTTCTTCTTTTTTGATTCCTCAAGGAATTCCTTCATGAAAACCAATACTCTCTAAGCATTTTTATGCTGGGTGTCTATATGGACAACCGACTGCACTACACGATATATGTACAAAAAATTTACATTATAATTAATATTATGTTAATCAATTAAGGAATCGATTATTTCTATGTTACCAATAACAGACAAAATTTCCACCTGCGACTGTAAAATTGTAAACTATTTAATGTAAATTCAGTCACAATTATGTATATGTATAGGCTCTCCCATGTTTACCTTCTAGATTTAAATTAAATATGCTACCAATAACGTAAGAATCACTTAAGTTAAGCAATAAATATAATATTATTTTATTTAATATCTAATTTTTTTTTTATATTATATTCATATAGTTAAATGAATATTTAGGAGATTTTAGCATTATGAATCCTGTTATATTTATTTATTCTTATTATATATATATATATATATATATATATATATATATATATATAAATTCACCTCTGTGTAATACATAGGTATATTAATTATAATACACATTACATATTAGTATATAATTAAGACAGAACCACGTCAGACTAAAAAAAAATATTTGTTATTGATCATGATAAATCTGCGAAAGTTCTTAAAGGTTTTATACTTAGGTATGCATAAAACTTTTAATAGCTTTAACGTTCGATAATTTGCATATGTGTCTCAGATTTCTACTCATAGGATATATAATCAACCATTCAAGAAACCATTATAATATAGTACAAGCTTGCAACCAGTTAACTAATCGACACGGTAATTTCGAATAGTTTCCTTTCCTACCAAACAGATTCTATCTGTTTGGTAGGAAAGGAAACTATTCGAAATGCCTGTGCCTGGGATAGACTGCTTATATTATTAAAAAAAATGTAAGCAGGTTTTAGGCATAGATAGTGCTCAGAACCACTATTTACGATTTAGTTACCTTCTTATCATGCATTTATTTGAAGTAGTAGCTAAATAATACATAGTACCTATCTATAATACATAATACCTACTTATTTATTACAGTTACTTTAACCTTGGCCGTTACTATCGATTTCATTAAATTACTAATCGCTCGCGCTACTTCTAATAAATAATCGTTAATAATTCAGAGGGCTACCCCATCTGAGTCTATCTCTATCTTATTCTATTCTCATTTATCTACCTAACAGGTATTCAATTTTCACCGTTTTGGTGCAAGTGAACGGCGTCACACCTCAAGTCCAAGATTTCTTTAGAACAATATTTGAAACGAACAGGCCAGATCAGCCCTTTTGGTTCGATAACAATATATGATTAACCGGGAACAGAGTCTATATTCATCTGCATCGTAACACTAGGTAGAGTTTCCTATAACAAATTTTATATCCATGATATAAACCAAGGCAACAAAAGATATTAAACAAGCAATTAATTAAATTGACTTTCATATTTGTAATAAAAAAATACTATATGAAAGTCACTTTGATTTGATTTGATATATAAGGATGTCCATTACCAATTTTTCGAAAGAGAAAGTGGTTTTGTTAATTCAACATTTTTGGTTTGCTAACTACAATCCTTTCTTAATAACTCTCTATATTATTTGGTATTGGTTACAATAAATATTCGTCCATATTTATAATTACGAAATAATATTAACATATATCTAAGATACAAAATTATCATAAAGCAAAGGATGGATATCTATTTCCTCTAAAGATAAATATGTATATACCGTTGTATAAATAATAAATAATATATATATATATATATATATATATCATACTTCTATAACACGGTAATGTTATGAGATCTAGTAATTGGAATAAAATTATGTAATGCTGGTTTACTGACAATATTTTGGCGGTTTATTCTAACTTCTATGGTTTATAGAGAGAGTAGCTATTTAATATAGAGTCAGAAACTCCCAAAATTTGCATTCTGTTTTTATAGAACATATCTAATTGCAGATAAGAATTTTTATAATTGTTCTTAGTCGTAAAATATAAATATGGGAGTATTACAATATTGTAAACGATTTCAGTTTCTAATTCTTAGGTGTAGTTGTAGTCAGGAGATACATTAGCAAAAGTGTTCAGTACAGATAGTGAAGTTCTTAGCAGCATCACAATGAACCATTCACAGATGATTTTTTCAGAGTAAAAATATAAAATTATGATTGTGATTTAAAATAGGGTGTGAGACTACCACAGATTTGAAAATTCATTATATGGTAGGTAGTTCGTATTGTTTAGGTATGTTACATGAAATCTTCATAACTTCTGCACCGATTTAATTGCAAATCCCAAATGTAATATTTGCTATACTAAGTTTTTATCCTCTTTATTTTAACCGTAAAATACCTATCTTAGAGCATAACAATCTACCATACCTATGGATAAATTTTAAGTTACGATCTTTAAGAACAATGTTTTCTGATATCTGGTACTCATTGCTGTAAATAGGGAAGTCTATACAAATCATAGTATTTTTGTAATATAAATACTGTCACCTACTTACGCTTTCTTAGAGGTAGTCGCTTAAAATTATCAGGGTTTTATTAAACTGTTTATTTATCGGGTTCCTATTAGATATGAAGCCATAACTAAGTATGTCGTAGAAGTGGATATAATATGTCTTATCGGAGTTTCTAAATGATATTAAATTGTATAATTTAGGAAGAGGAAACTACACAACATTGCTGCATTGCCGGCACCTAACCCGTTTCTCCAGTTCGCATGAGATTTTCTAAAAAATCGTCTACTCTTTACAACAAATAAATATAGAGTACAATTTATGCTAAAATTAGTCGTTTTTAGTTTTAGGTAGGTACTTGAGATTTCCTATGTTTAATGGTAGGTTAATGTTTATACTTTTATATGCCAGTAGGTACGTATCTACCTAGATTACGTAAACAGTAGATAGATATATGCTGATTAATATATTAGAAATAATATCAGATAACCATTATTTTACTGCCCTATTTTAATATAGGGCAATAAAATAACGTTTGAATGTAATTATTAATTTTATGTTTAGGTATATATGTGCACTCATTTTGTTTTATTTATGATAATGAAATATTGCACCAGTCTGTGTTAACGGTTTATGTTGGCGGGGCACCAGTGGAGGATAATAAAATGAGCATGAAATCGAGTTGGTTAGCCCATCGTGATAAATTGATGAGTAATTTCTCACGATGGTTTTCAGGGGGAAACGGACGGAGGTCAATCTGACATGGTACATCGTTAGTAATGGGTGTTCACTTTATAAGTTCTCTTTCCCACCCTGTGGACACTATTAGTGTATCTTGTTTCTTAGAGAATTTTATATTATGAGATTTTTAAATACTTATCAATAAACAACATACTTACCAACAGGCATAAGCCTTGTCAACTGGTAAGTAGTCTAGATTCCTGATTTACTAAGGCCATGTCTATCTTAAGTTTCTTAAGAAACATTCTCAGATAACTTACTACTTGTTTCCTTATTCCTTAATCGAGAAAAGAAAGGTTCTCTGTTATTAGAATATCATAAAATATCATGTCGATAGGTACAATTATGCTTGGTCGATGATTAAAGCATTTATAATTACCGGGATAGGTATTAAATATATTTAGTTTTATATAATTATAAAGGCAT